TGGTCTCCTTATTTAAAAAAGGACATACTTGCCCTCGAGGGGTGCAGCGTAGATTCACTCGGTTAGTTCCTGGGATGAGGGGACTGACCTATGAGGATAGGCTGAATAAACTGGGGCTGTATTCGCTAGAGTACAGAAGAATTAGGGGAGATCTTATTGAAACATATAAGATTCTTAAAGGGCTGATAAAGTAGACACTGAGGGACTGTTTCCCCGGTAGGAGAATCTATAACCGGGGTCATAATCTTAAAATTAAGGGTCAGCCTTTTAGAACAGAGTTGAGGAAACATTTCTTCACTCAGAGGTTAGTGAATTTATGGAATTCACTCCCCCAGAAGGCTGTAGATGCTCAGTCCTTGATCATCTTCAAGGCTGAGACTGATAGATTTTTTAAAAAATAAAGGGATTAGGAGATATGGGGATAGGGCAGGTAATTAGAGTTAGGTCAGCAGATCAGCCATGATCTTATCGAATGGCAGAGCAGGCTCGAGGGGCCGAATGGCCTACTCCTGCTCCTAATTCTTATGTTCTTATGTTCTTTCCAGAAGTCAGAGCTGAGATCAGCATCCAAACAGAATTCATCTTCAGTCTTTTCCAATCTGTCAGTGAACCCATCCATGCATTCTAGATTTTTTTAAACAAAATTATTCTATAAGAGTTGAGACTGATCCAAAATTCCACTTCCCACATGCTCACCACCATCAAACTCCCAGCAGATCGATTTCAAGGTCCTCATCTTCACCCTCAATTCTATCCATTTTCTGGCACCTCCCTATCATAGAATCAGAGGATTATACAGCACAGAAGGAGGCCATTCAGCCCATCATGTCTGTGCCGGCTCTTTGAAAAGAGCTTCCAAATCAATCCCACTCCTCCATGCTCTCCCCATAGCCCTGCAAACTTGTCCTCCCCAAATAATGATCTCAACAATGATGAGATCCACTAAACTCATAAGTAAAACTGGGAAGTTCCCCAAATAATGATCTACTTCTCTCTTAAATAATTAACTACTTCTCTCTAAAGAGAGATCTTCTATCCTACACCTCCGCCTGTCCCCTCCACTCAGTTAACTTGGGCTTGATATGCAACCTGACCTCCCCACACCACCAATCAATGACTGAGCCAGCAGTTCCTACCCTCCTAACTTCTGGATCTCCCTCCCTCTACCATTCCATCTTGACCCCTCTCTTTCTGTCTCTGAGTTCTGCCTCAAGTCTCACTTTTTCAAATTGCCCATGGCCACCTCGCTTATCTCCTCTCTCCCTGACTCAGGATCTATATTCCATCGCTGTAAAGAGACATTACCCTAATGGAATGGTGCTATTTACATGCAAATTGTTGTTTATTAGAATAAACTCATTTAATGGCTATGGGATCTTTAAAGTACCTATTTCGGAGGTGGATTATGAAATTTGGGATTTTTTTCCCCAAAAATGATAATTTGCTGCTGCATGCAGATCTTTGAAAAATACTCTGGTTTGACAAGGTCTGGATAGAAACTATTTCCACTGGTCGGTGAGTCAAGTTGTTGGGCTAAATGGCCTGTTTCTGTGCAGTATTATTGAATGTAATTCCGTGTTAAATAAAAAGGTTACAGCAGATCCTTTGGAGGGTTTGCAGGTATCACACAGATTTGTAACTACATTTATTCGACGTGGAATGATTATTAGTCCAAAATAAAAATAGGAATCCCATGTGTTGTAAAAGTACTTTCACTATTACATTTCATTAGGTTGTGTATAAAATGAATTCCTGGTGCCATCTGCTGGGATATTTATTTATCAGCAGCATGTTGGTCCATCAGCAACACTTGACTTCCTACTTTACAAGAATTAACCTCAAACATTATGGATAATCAGTTCAAATATTGTATCTTCGTCACATTAACTCGCTTTTCAAAAGGGGAAGTACTGATATATCAGGGTTAATGTATTACCAAACAATCTGTTCATGTAAACAATGTGTGCATTTTCTGTTTGTCCATAGATTTGAATCTATAACTATTGAAACAAAATCAAGACGGCAAACTATCTTAGTTATAAGTATTTATCAAGACACAAGGTTTCAGATGTAAAACAAGATGTAAGATTTGCATACTTAACAACAACTTGGAGTTATAGGTGTTTTCAACAGAAAATATTTGAAATATTTTAACCATATATTATATTTAGGCAGAAGAAATGGATTCTTTACATTGCATTTGATACTGACTAAAATCAATTTTAAAAATGTGCTTTGTTTCTTCCTAATTTCTCCCCATTTTCCCATTATACAGCAACTTTCACATCGGGAGAACATCTCAAGGTGCTGAAAAGTCAAAGGTTTGCACCCGAACTGGGGAATGGAATCAAGAGGGGTGGAGGGCAAAGAGGGGTGAGGTGGAGTCAAAGAGGAAGATCTTAAGATCGGCCTTGAAGGACACAAGGGAGGTGCCAAGGCAAAGGGGTGGTTGGGCTGGAGTTACAGAGGGTGGGGGCAGAAAGGTCGAAGGCTCGACCGCCAACGGTGAGCTGTTACCCTATTTTACAAATATTTTCTTGCTTGATATTCACGTGACACTTACATGCCTATTGCACCCAAAGTAATACAACTCATGTTGGATTAATTGCTCACTAAATTACATGTAAATGGATTACTTACTAATTAAACTAATGATTTGGTTCCTGTATGGTATCATGGGAAAATCCATCAGAACTATATAATTGTAGGAATTGCATAACTTCAGAATCTGTATAATTGCTCAAATAATAATCAGATAATAATCAGAATTCTTCCTATTTTAGATCATTTGTGAACAGGAAGCTATTGAATTATTTTGCTTGCAATTTGCAAAACTATTTGATCCACTATTAAAAAGCTGAAATTGCTTGTGGGATTCAAAAAAGCATCAAAATTAAGAACAAAGCTGATATAAATAATAGGAACACAGATGTTACTTACAATTTAGTCCATTACCATTTATTGCAATATGTTATATACTCCAACTCTAAAAAAAAATCTTAAAATGAACAGCTATTTGTCAGCTACATTTCTGTGATTGTCCCATGAGAAGTTAAAAGCTAAGTAGATTCAGGTTTCTGCAGATTTCAAGTGGGATATTTATAATAATAATATTTGACATCACAGGGATCTAGATCCTTCCAGATCAGCATGTTAAATGAGAGATTAGTTATGATCAGTAGCATAGCTGGATGAGAGGTTGCGTATATTGTTCTTTGCAGAGTGCACATTCCATAGTCTATGAAATATACCCTTACATTTTAATACATTTCGTTTTTGTAGTGTAACTTGTCTGTTAAACTTGGTCGCAGAGAGCTAACATGAAAGGGAGTTATGCCTTCCCTAAACACATGGCACGATAACCAAATGTAAGTTATCTGCAAAGTATAGTGTGATCCCTGAACAGGTGAAAAGGCCACAATCATAGAATTATACAGCACAGAAGGAGGCCATTCGGCCCATCGTGTCTGTGCGGCTCTTTGAAAAGAGCTTCCAAATCAATCCCATTCCCCCACTCTCTCCCCGTAGCCTTGCAACCTTGTCCTCCCCAAATAATGATCGCAATAATGATAAGATCCACTAAACGCATAAGTAAAACTGGGAAGTTTAAGACCATTATGATTTACAGTTCATAGTTAAAAGGACTTATTTCTGGAATCTATAGAGGTATTGATTGACTCCATTATTTAATTTAAATTTGCAAACGTATAGTTACAAACTACCAGAGGGTAATGACCTTTTCGTTCAATAATTTTTTGTTTTGCACATAATAGGTATGATTTCACATTGGGAGTGAATCAAACTTTGGGTGGGGGAAAATTGCACAGGCAGCAAAACTCTTAAAGGGCTCAATAGGGCTTGCACTTAGTCTGATTACTGAGAAATTAAGTTTAATACAAATAAAGGTTCTGCCAATATAAAGGAAACATTGGAGGCAGTGTACATTCCAATTATGGGATAGAATTTGACTAGGAAAAGCCGAGACCTCGAGGGGTGATATTGACTTACCATGTCAAAACAGTGCGAGGCAGCAATAATCAAGGCGAACAGAATGCTGGACTGTATTGCCAAATTCATATTGCTAGAAGTTATGCTCAAGGACTAGTGATAGCTACACCTAGAATACATCATACAGTTCAGATCACAGTGATGACATAAAAAGGCCGTCTTGACACAAAAGGCAGTGCAATAAGTGTTTTTTAGAGCCTCGAGAAAGTGATATCTCAAAGAGACTGTGTAGAGGCGTGCGAGACTTAATGAAATTAAGAACGTAAACCAGGAAACATTCTCAAATGGGTCATGGCAGCAGAAGAGGGCAAATTCAAGGATTCACAAGGCAATTTCAGGACTAATATCGGGAAGTATTTCTACACACTGGTCAAAAACCTGGACTTATTTAACTAACAGCTTGATACCATGAGAGGATAGCAGGGTGGGTATTTTGAAAGGATGAGATCAAACCTTTCTTAATCTGAACCTCTCTTGCGAAAACTAAATTTTAAGTTCTTACATGACATCAAACAAGGCCACATTAAATTGTGGTGTTCTTTGGTACTATTGGAAACCTAGGCACAGTATACAATAATTTGTACACTACACAAAACCCCTTTATTGTTCTCAAATTCAAGGTGATTGCAAACTTTTAATCAAAATAATTGTGCAGCATTTAACGCTACTGTCAACTTATTCCCAGACAGTACATGGAGTTGAAACACTTGATTAAAAATGGATTTGTTCTGAGCAGTTTTCAAAGTCCACCTAATTTAAAGTGCAAGTCTTCAATCTTTTCCAGGAAAGCAAAGTTCATTCAAACAGCAACTAAAACAAATTTAGTAAAACCATCATTTTTTTAAATCAAAAATAAAAAGGACTTCTTTTTTAAATGCAACCCCAATTAGAGTATAAGAAGATTAATTTTCTCGACACCCAATCTAACCAGAACAAGCAAGAACATGCAACAATCTATCCATACAGGAACTTACTAAGAAATAAAGCTATGCTTTAGTGGTAAAATCTTGCCGGGTAATACCAACATGAATTTTTATTGCAGTAAAGTTGGCTGATATGGAAAACACATTGATACATCCATTGCATACAAACAAAACATTTAAGAAAGTTTACCCTCCAAACTTGATCTATTTCATGAATAGTTTAATGAAAAAAATTCTTTAATAAAAATAAAAAATATCTGTAAAGGGAAACTCCAATATGTAAAAATTGCATCAACTTCCAAAAACCACACTAAAGACTCCAACAGAACTTTTACTAAAAAAATCAATTCATTTTGTATCTGTGTTTGTGTCAGACAAATGGGCATTATTCAAACTGTTGTATTTCACACCAAAAAGAAAAACACAGGACTGTAAACTCTTACTAAAAAAGAAATCATCTTGAAATAAATTGCTGCAAATGCTGAGTCCATGTGAAAAATCAACGAATATAAATCTTTTGAAAATGTCTTCTGAACCTTTATAATTATTGTTCTGTGCCAGAAAATAGATATTTGTATCAAAGTTATGTCTAAAACTTAATTTGCCTCAAACGGATAACCTTAGAAATATACACGGAATTGTGGTGTTAAAAGCATTTGCAGCAATTTACACATAGAAGTTTACTTAATCAAGTAAGGAAAAGTCAAATGGTTGAAAAGTCTCTCTGCAAGCCTTGGCAAATGCTTCCTCATCTTCTCGGCTGTATTTACACTCTCTCCAGTTGGCTTTATCTGGTATATTTAAAATGGCTTCGCTCGCCAAAACCTCTCTGTGGAAAAACAGGAAAGTTCATCAACATGACCGTAAACACAAGTGTGCAATATTAACAGTTAAAAAAATAAAATTCATGCTATCGGTTTCATCATGTGTAAAGAACATACTCTCAACAAAGATGGGCCGAATGGCCTCATTCTGTCCTGTAATAATCTAAGACTCCAGCAAAACATTGGATGAGCAGTATTGACATTTTAAGGTTTATAACAATGCAACTTTCATGTTCTTTCATTTAGCAAGAAACCGCAATCTATATTATTTGGAACATTTGTTAAGATGCTTCCCTGATGACCTAATGAATAATGCTGAACTAAGACACAAAACTAGAAGGCAGCAGATTTGATTTCTAGTCTTAGCATTTAGCTGATCTTAGCTGTGCTGCTCTTTCCTTACCTAATTGCTAACTAGTGACACCCACTGAAGTATGCATGTGGATCCTTAAAGTCTTACCTGCCAAACTGCAGAGGAAATTGTTTCTTGATCCTGTGGAAAAGTTTGTCTCCATTTTCCAGCTCAACGTAGAAATATGCTGATCCGGGCTGAATTATCTACACAATGGATCAATTGTGTCAATCAAGCAGTGACCTTAATATTAATATGCTATATGTAGACCACACAAGGCAAAATTTCATTTAAATCTCATTTTAGACTTCTTAATATCAAACGCATTTTCTTTAACGCAACGAGCTTTGTTGAGCAAGTGCAGAAAGCTCACACTCACTTGCTTGAGGTCTGAATGCTCGGGAATCTCCAAGAGCTCCATCTGCTGTTCCTCTGCCTGTACAATAAAAGCTTCTTTGATGTCATCAGTAACACAACACTGAACAGGAACAGGAACCACCTGGATTAAAACAGGAATTAGAGAATGCCAGTGACAAATCAAGCACATCACAAGTACAGCATCAAATCAGACAATTATACAAGAGTCAGCTTTATATTTTTCCACCAACCACTGCAAAATTTATGGGGGGGAAGAAATACATCATTGGGATGCTGGATCCCTCAGAGACAAGTTATCATCATATAGATTGATTTCAGACTTAAACTAATGAAGTGCAAAGTTTTTTTTAAAACCCGTGTGTGAGATGGAAAGTGTTAAGAGAAGAATTGGTTGACTTGCTAATTCTTCACTACTATAGCTTTCTCCACTCAATACTTTGTGTGGTGATTTTAGGACTGGCCTGTGGTCTTTCAAAGCCAGTCACACTATAAAATCAACCACGACTACAACACACAAATTAGTTCATAACATTAACGTTCTATTTTGCAAAATTAATGAAAAATGCATCACTTTTATATTCCCAATTATATGAATAGAACACTGCACAAAACCTAAATATTAGCACTATAGCAACTTAAGGCTCAAATTAAACATGGAGTATTACCTGTAACTGTAAGTGTTGGCTCTTGTAGTTTCTTTCAAACATTACAAATCTTTTCCCTTTGCTTTTGTAATACTTTTTCAAAGCCAATTTGTACTTCTCTACTTCTTCTATGGCTTCCGAAGGTAGCTCAACCACTGATTGATAATGGCCAATGGGCAAGATAAGTACATGGTCGGGAGTTAAACTACCTTTGGCGAGTGCAATGTAACACTGCAAAACAAAAAGAGAGTTCATCCTGATAAGAACTAATACAAACTGGAGTTATTATAGCTTATAATAAACTTATTATGAGTAATAGCTATTAAACTGTGTAGACGTATTTATTCACATTATAAGACTGCATAAAATACAGTAAAGATTGGCAAACAGTTCAATAAACTGAACACTCGGGTACTTTAATAGCACAGGACAAATTTCTATGCATAATTCCATTTTTGAGAATAACCAACATCCACTCAGTGGTAATCAAAGCACTTGGTAAGTAGAGTCAGAGTGAATGTGTTCATGGTTGCCAATGTAAATCTTGAATTGTTTTAAGTACAATTATAGACCTTAATTATGTTACATTAATTTGTGCAAGTTCTAGAGACAGGCTGCAGAACGATGGGTGCAGCTAATCAAGAGAAAACAAAGCTATACATACTACTGTCGTAAGCCATGGAGACAAATGAATAAGTCAAAACCGGCATACTATAGAATTTTTGCCAGAAATGATACCAATTTGGCTCGGGTCTCTCAAAAAAAATCTGTACGTAGTTCAATCACATTTGAACAAACAGTGTTTAGTTTTTAGCCAAATGGAAAATACAGACATTGACTACAATTACAAATACTGCTTAAAAATACTGGTACATTAATTTACCCAAGGGAACATCATCTGGGTGAATTCCTGCAGCATCCTGATCAAACCCTTAGGCACAATACCAAAAAACACCTCAATAAGCCACTAAATTATCCTTCGTTCACCTACTGTCTCCACCTTTCCAGTTGCAATCCTTTTGTATTCATCAGTACTGCGGGATGATCTTTGCTTGACGTAATGGCATCCTACAGGTTCCTCCCCTTCACTGCATTCAATCGAGACTCATTGCAGTCTAATAGTTCGACTAATTCATTCTCAACACCTAAACGTTATAATCTCTCCCCCAATTTCCCTTCCTCCTACGATACACAGGCTTTCGAAATCCAAATGTCACCTAAACACTTATTTGCTTGGTCATTTTCTCTCCTCTGTGATGTAACACTTTACTGTAACTCTTGACCTCCTTCAGTTAGGTTTCTCAACGAAACCATTTCAGGATTTTGTTGCCTTTCTTACCTCAACAGGGCTAGGTTTTGTGCTTCAGTTGCAATGATATTCAAGTCTATATGAAGAAAGTTTTAAAATAAATGGCTATGAAGATATTATATAGTACTTACATGTGTACCAATACTGATCACTAAGTGCTTTTCTACTTCAGGACTAGCAAGGCAAAACCAGCAGGGGCCAGTGGGCTGAGCTGCAATATAAAAATATCAAACATTTATTGTATACGTGACAGGATACATCTAGAATTTATATCTGGTAGGGAATTATAACAACACAAGCAATAGAATCAGGTGACAAGTAAATCAGCAAAAGCAAAGATCAAATGGTTTTGAATACCAATTCACCAAGACAAAAGTTACATTGATGTACCTGTTTCCATGTTTCAATTACATAATATGTAATCATTTGTGTCTTTTTGGACCATTAACAAAGTTTACAGTGTAGATGTAGAGCTTCTCAATTAGTATTTCCACATCAGGGTACGGAGTACTCAATGTGCAAAGTAGTTAATTTGACTTTTGAAATGGTGAATATGCAGCATTACTGACAAGATAAATTTATTGATCAACAGCCCAGGGTTACAAATGAGCTGAAACAAGTATAATGTTGCTTGGTGATGGCCTTGCAGGGGATACTGTGTTTAACAGGAAGGGATCTCTTAACACCTAATGTGCACCTTTTGTTGCGTATTTCAAAATTGAAATGGGTCCTATAGATCTCCTTTTCCACAAGGTTAGGGAGGGTCTGATTAGGGATCACAGTCTTGATTTCTATGCAGTGCCCTCTTTTGGGTTGTGCCAATATGGGAACAGGATTGAGGCTAGCTATGATGTCCCCAAATAGTTAATCAATAATACTTCATCATATACTAAAATCATCCCCACAACAGCCCCTCCCCACTGGGTAGCCTGGGTGGAGGAGAGGGCTGGATTCTGGACTAGCTTATAACCAAATTGATTGGGCAACAGGAACAAGCAGCCGTGACAGCTTTTCCTTCTCAAACTCTGAACACAATAAAATCAAACAGACCGTTAGTCGTCAAACAGAATTTAACGAGCAACTACTTCATATTTAAAGAGGTCGTCACAATAGACTTCAAACTTGGTTCAAGAACATTCAAAAATGAACAGACACAAATCTGAAGCAGTTGCTCCTAGTTGATGGCTCATTTGCACTTGACCACACTGACCAAAAGACAGCAATTTTGAGCACAATAAGTGGCCCGTGGTCAACGAGACAAAACCTGATTGCTAATCAGCACCCTGCTGGAAGGCGCATATTCTGTCGACATCAGGATGAATAGTATGGTAATATTCACCATCAAGGTACACACAAAAGTAACTGCCACTTGGGCAACCTAAGTGTGTGGAACTATAGGTAGAAAGAAAAAGTCAAAACACTTTGAGGAGAGGAGGGGACACATTTAACAGTGAGTTTAATAGCATTGCTGGAGATAGAGGAATATGCTCATGTAAGATATGTACGGCATATGATAATTTCCTCAACCCTTAAGACTGCAAGCAGTTCCAGGGCAATGACCATCTCCCTTCAGGATATTTATCCTTAAGATATTGTATTTATCTAAAATAAAACCAAACTTCAAAACTCTTACAACTCCTCGGTTTTGTGAATCAAAAATGCTCCAAAGACCAATCAAGAGACAAACCAACCTCTCAAGTTTCACAAAGCACTTTCATCTTTGCTCCAGACAAGCAAACTTATCCACAGTATGGCAAAGGTTAATGCACTTGGCGGAGGAGTTAACTTAAATTGACAGACTAATGCAAACAAAATGTTTTTTTTACAATATAAAATTCTGAAACTATATTTTGAGGAGGTTCCTTTTAAATATTTTATTGGACTGGATCTCATCAGCAAAGACACACAACTGGTGCGTCTATCTCTAAACGCAAAGTTTTCAGACAACTCACGTGGTTTCCTGTGCTGTTTGGATTGAGTAAACGTTCCTCCTCCATCCGAGCGCCTTTTCCTTCCCTCTGGTTTGTTCAGCTCAAAGAAGAACTGGACAGCAGATTCTTCCTGTGAACAAAAATGATTTTATATCATAAATTCAATTTGTTTATTGTTAAAATTACGAAGCTCATCATATATAGAGCAAATGCAAAGCATTAACTGCTCTATATCAAATTTGATTATTTGCTCTATTAGGGATTACTTGCTCTATATCAAATCCAAAGAACATTCACAAATTTATATAAAATTCTTACATTTTAGTTGACGGTGAGTACAAATCCACCTTAAACTCACTGGTTTAATTAAAGAAACAACAAATTTACATTTATACAACAACAACTTGGATTTATATAGCGCCCTCCATGCTGGACGGCATCTCAGAGCGCTTCACAGTAACAGATCCCGGGACAGAGCCAGGGGGAGGGGGAGGAAGGTGACCAAAGTCGCGGTCGAAGAGAAAGGTCTTCAGCAGAGACCTGAAAATAGAAAGAGAGGGAGCGAGGCGAAGGGAGTGAGGAAGGGAATTCCAGAGCCGCGGGGTGTAGTGGCTGAAGGCACAGCCGCCGAGGGTGGAGCGAAGGACTTGGGGGACAAGGAGGAGGACAGACCCGGAGGAACGAGGGCATATAGTGCCTTTCACATCTGAAAGACATACCAAGGAGCTGAAAAGCAAATAAAAGTAATGCTACATGAAATGGTTTATCACAATACCTTTGAACAGTGTGTCAAATTAGTTTGTACAGAATATATATTGTAATGCAGGATTAAACAATGCAAACACACTTACTGTAGTATTAAACAATACTTACTGTAGTGCCTTCTCCTAATTTTGTCTTTTGAGAGTCTTTGAACATTTTTCTGTATGGATTCTCTGTGACATCTTGAGGTTGTTTCACTAGTTCAGTTGGATCCATAGAGTTTATTGGTACTACATTAAATGCGTACAGATACTACAGAAAAAGGAAATGTAAATATGAAGCCCGCCATATAAACCTTAAACTGAAAATTAACATAGGACACTATGCAGTGCAAAATAAACATCTCACAATATTTCAAATCAGTATCATAAAGAATCTATTTAAAATTCTGATCAAATTTTAAATGGTTATCCAAGCCTTATTTTGCAAATTTAATTCAAAAGGATTTTTGAAATATTTCTTCATAAAGCTGTGTTACCATTTTATGTACAACTTATTTTAGTTGAAATGTCATGAAGGTTGAATGCATTGCAGTTAAGACAAAGGTTTTCAACAAATTTGCAGTAGAGACATAAATTAATGATCTCATTTCTATACAAATAGTAAAATCAGTCAAAAAATTGTAAAAATTCACATATTGTTTACTTGCCTTTTTCTTACTAGTATTGCTGATATTGGCCAGTGATATGAACCTGCTGACATGTTGTGCATTTTCTTGCAGTACCACATGATTCCTACATAGAAAAGATCATTTAAAAAATCTTATCGTGGGTAGATGTTACTTTCGAAGGCTCCTACAATCATTAATGTGCGCAAAATTAGCTAATCTTAATTGGGAATTAAGTTTTACAATTGGCCTCACTGCTTTTAGTCTTTTCAAAACACCCAAAACAGCAGGGGGGTTAAAAAAATAAACAAATGTTGGGATGTAAGGGTGCAATGTGCACATTAGCAGATAGGATTAAAACTGTATGTGGTCTCGGTTAAAGCAAATCTGGTCCATTGCATGCAGTTTTGATCTCCCAATTCCGCCAAAAAAGTAATTAGTTGTTTGGAGAAACTGAAAGGAAACCTACTAATAGAATTCTTAGATTTAAGGGACAGTTCTCTAAGAAAAAGCTGGCAATCCTCTTTAACAAAGACTATGCAGGCTTAGAAAAATTTGGATTCAGGTACGATTTCTGCTCTGAATCAAATTTAAAACGAGTGAATATTCTCATTATTATTCTAAATGATTTGGGTTTGATGGACACAATTAGAAATATGTTTTGTATTTTGTAATATATGCACTTGCACTTTACAGGTATATGAATTAAGTACCACACTAATATATGCATGATATATTCAAAGTTAAGCAGTCAATACCTGTAGGGTAACCTTTCATAGTGGATTCCTTCCAAAGCTGCAAAATGATATCGTGGCTTTAACGTAGATGCAAGATGAGCTATTGAACCAGAACCACATGATTTTGTGTCTACATCATCCTGTCAGACATTAAAACAATCAGGTTTTGTTGCCATCCTCTCTTATAGTAAGTAACGCCATATAAGATTACTAAAAACCTTTAATATAGTTTCTGTTTTGAAAACAAATGTTCTATCACCGTGTGTTATTTAAATCACTACAGCAGTACTTCAATAATCCTCATCCTGATCTCATCAAAATACAGGACTTTGAAACGGGGTGAGTCACAAAAAGTGGAAATAGTGGGGACATTCTGAGCTGCCTCCAAGTTGTTTTGGATGTCAGATAAGGAAAGGCTTCACTGTGACACCCACAAAAATCAATAGTTTTTCAAAACTGTTTTAAAACATCTATGGGCTCAAATGGTTTCCTCCTTGTCCTTGCCCCCAAAAGTACATCTATAATCAAACAAACAAAATCCAAACTTTTGGAGTTTTGTACTGTCAAAAAAAAAAGCACATGAAAGAAAAAGAACTTTCAAAATTGTGATCCCTGATACGTGACTTGTCAGTCTCCACAAACATAAGCTATTACCATATACCCTGCATCAATCAATATGCAAACCAGAAACAGCCTATTTTAATTCAAAAGGCAAATAGTTTGAATTGGAACTAGAAACACAAACGGGTGACTAGCCTCAGGGGATAAGGAAGTTGGGGATTACTTGGAGCTGAGCTGGCTCCAAGGTGGACATACTTGGCAACAGAATATCAGGATCAACTCAACCCTGTATGATGGTCTCAGTAGCCTGGTTCCTGAGCCTGACAGATCCACAGTATTTCTGATGACAGATCCACCAGTTTATCAACAGGATTTAAAAGGCCAGGCTCCCATGCTGGGGTTAAAGATTCTTCCTACTCAGCTCCTGATAATCTAGCGAGGCCAAAGACCTAACGGGCAGGGTGGTCCTGGCTGGACAAACAGCGGGAAGCTTGCCAGACGGTGCTTTCAATAGGAAGCCGTTGGTTCGAGCTGGTTAAATTCCCAGCAGTGCCCTTCTGTGCTCCCAAGCTTTAACTTTACTCATAGCAGCGGGTGATGGGGTTTTCGCATGCGTCTCTCAGCTGACCAAAAGAAAATATAAAAACGAAACGAATAAGCCATACTGGATTGTTCCCATACTGCCACACCCCTTTTGGCCATTCTGATGTGAGCAGTATGTCTACACCCTTGAATTTGGAGTTGGCAGTTAGTGAGCTCATCAGTGTTGTCACATCTTTAGAAGTAAAGCAATAAGATGGTGCGGGTTCATTCTGGGCTTCTGTACCACTCAAGTAAGCAATCTGCAAACCTGAGGCTCCTGTAAACACACCTTTACGACCTGCAAGAACAAAATGTACCACATATCTATTTCAAGACAAATCTGGAACACTTTTATCAAGCTCAGGTTTTTACCTCAAGCATTACACTTTTAACTGAAAATCAGTAAATGGCACATTTTGGAAGATGTGCCCAAACTGGGATATGACACACACCTAGATATGTAATATTTTCTGCCAATTCACATCCATCTACTTCAGAGAAATGTTTAGCAGTTTCTTGATTGTTGGCACCCAAAACGTAGGTTTGCATTGGAGCTGGATAAGAAAAAAAACAGATAAGTACAACCCAGAAAATATCCACTGGCTAAACTTGCATTGTTAACTGTTTGTTTATAATAATAATGATAAATAATCCTCAAGCATCATTTGATATAGCACTTTTCATGTCTTACTGTAAAGTGAATTGACTGTCTATTTTGTGGGCATATATTTTGTGTTTGCTCATTTTCTGCATCAACTATGTTGATTAGATCAGGTTGCCCATTGGTATACTGGAACTAGTTCCAATCAAGGTTAATGTGCTCACATTCTAAAAGGAGTGACTTTAGTTTCCAGCCTCAATATTATTTTATTATATAAATATTTTGCACTCACAATCTTCTGAATTTTCATTTAAAAATGTCGAACATCAAAACATGCAAATCAAAAGGAATCACAACCCTGTAACAAGCAGTTTCACCTTGTATAGTTTGTTTACATCAAAAAAATTAAACTTTGCCTGACAGAAATGTTAAATGTTGGTCCATAATCATTTACCTTTCTTGACTCCAGTTTTGTAATCTTCCCATTCAGATTCTGCCTCCTCTGTGCTTCCAAAGAAATTTCCCACACATAACAACAACTACAGATATAAAAATGACAGTCAACAGATTGCTTTGATTATTTCTTCACCATATCTTCTCACCAACAATTTAAAATACTGCAAAATCTAAATGAATTCATGTGCTATTTTCAAAGTTAGTTTATCAATTGAGAAATGCGTATAGATTAAATTGTAATTAGTAAATCTTTGATGTGGATCACATGTTAGTTAATACAGGTACTGTTAAAGGCTTTTCCATCATAACATTCCATGAGAGCAAACATCATCAGCAAAATTTTAGAACCACAACAAACTTTATTCATTTTTATGCAAACAAAATTTGACAAGATACTAGAACCAGGGCAAAGATTTAAACTCTAGATTCAGATAATAATTAAAACAAACAGAAAAGCTCAGTTTTCTGATCTCTTCAATTGTTGCTTTGTAATCCAGCACCACAGCATCCTGTATTCTGCCATGAAGAGAGACAGAGGCATCACTATCAGTACTAGTCATAGTGATGGTGTGCAGAAATACAAAGCAGTAATTGAATATCAAGTTTTAACTAATCACAAGAAAGCATTATTACAAGCTGGAGGGATACTTAGCTGAATTTCTGTTTGTTAGTACAACAACAAGTTACATTTGTATAGTGCCTTTCACGTTGGGCGGATGCCCATTCTACAAAAATTATTGTTTAGGGACAACAAACCTTAGCCGAAACTAAATGCTAATTCAGCCTTGCTGAGTCATGAAAATCACATGAAATTCTAGTTGAGTTACTCACTTTGAAAAATAGATTTTAGAATAAAATTCATCCTAATAATAATCCTTACATTTGAATTTGCACCATGTCATGTCTCAAAGTGCTTCACAGGCACTGGAAAGACTCACTGCTCTTTTTGAATAACGCCAAGGGATCTTTAACATCCACCTGAACAGGCAGCTTGAACCCCCAGTTTAATATCTCATTCAAAGGCACTTCTAACAATGCAGCATGCCACAGCACTGCAGCCAAGGCTGTAAATTCAAAGTATTGTGCATTATATGGGATTCAGACACTATGCTCACTGCTTATATACCCCAGGAATAAATATGTACTGTAATTAAGGTAAACAAAAAGGTCTACCCTGTCATTGCTATTTTCAAAGCAATGTGGAGTCTCTCCTTTTTTATATTCCCTTCCCTAATGGAAATACCCCCCCAAATTTTAATCAACTGGCTGTTCATTTCATTGTTTATGGGATCATTGCTGATGCAGATCAGCTTCAGCTATTTAACATTCATTTCACTTCCAATCAAATAGCAATCTAGCACTTCAAGACATTTATTTTGACATGAAAGGTACAACATAAATAGGTTACAGTATTAACACAAAATATAAAGTGTTTGGGTTTTACGTAATTTCTGTTCTCTATATGGAATAAAACAAAAACGACCTTGATAAATATCCCATTTCAATACAAATAATAAAAAATAATTATCCTTGCATTTGATATCGCTTTTCACATCTTCTAGACGTCTCAAAGCGCTTCATAGAATAAACTGTAAAGTGAATTGACCGTATATTTGTGGGCAAAACGCAGCAGCCAATTGCGCACAGCAGTGTCCCACAAACAGTCATGGATTGAAGTGACCAATGTATTATTGTTTTTTTTCTCTTGAGAGATTATTATCAGGCGTGTGGAGTAAGGAAACTTGCTCGACTTTTTGCCCGGCTGGGAATCGAACCCAGGTCTCTCACTTGTGAGGCGAGCGCTCTAACCACTGAGCTACAGGACTCCACAAAGAGTCAAGAGAATGTGTTTTTTGATGGAGGGATATCAAAATAGTATACCACTAATGAATATGGCTTCTACTAAACCATACTTTCAATTGTTGGATTGGGAACAAATTCTCATCTTTACTGCATGTAATACCTTTAGAGATTGCCAACAAAAAGAAAAGGCACTATACAAATTGAATTGTATTTTTGACCTAATATTCATAATTTCCCAGCTAACAAATGATAAAAATGCATAATGTACCTGTAAATCAAGCCCAAATTCTGTTATAGTGCAAATAAAATATAGAATTGGGCAGAATATAGCTCAATTGTTTTTACTAGTAAAGTTTTCCAAAATTGTTTCCCGACAATTATTTATAAACAAAAATGCACTTACATCAAAATCTCCACTTTTCTTTTGAATAGACCGTACTCGATTAAACAACACATTAAGTTTTCCTTCAACATCTCCACAAGCTAATCTGAAAATTAAAAAAAAATCCAGTATATCAAAAGCAGATTTTTTAAACATTGTACCATTATTATCCTTGGATTTATAATACAAAAATACTTTGAAGTAAGTAACTTCTGAACATCAAAAAGCAACACGTTTTATTATTGATTAAATGAATCACTTGTTCTCTCTTGCCAGTCTCTCTCTCATCTCTTCCTCCCTCCAGTCTCTCTTCCCTCCCTCCCTCTCTTATCTTTCTGTGTCTCACTCTGAGCTGGTGTTTCTCTCTAATTGCTCTCTCTCGATCTCTGTTTTCTCTCTCTAAGTCTGTCTCTCCTACTCTGAGCTGGTATCGCTCTAGTTTCCATGTATGTATCTCCATATGTGCCTGAAAGGCTGGTGGAAGCTGATTCGATAATAATTTTTAAGAGAGTAGTTAGTTGGGGAGGACAAGTTTGCAGGGCTATGGGGAGAGCGCAGGGGTGTGGGATTGATTTGGAAGCTCTTTTAAAAGAGCCGGCACAGACACGATGGGCCGAATGGCCTCCTTCTATGTTGTATAATTCTATGATCTCTTGTTTCTTTCTATCCTGCTACCTTTGTGTCTCACTCTCCGTGCTGGTGTCTCTCTAGTTTCTCTCGATCCCGTCTCCATCTCCCTCTATCCCGTCTCCCTCTCTCTCCCGTCTCCCTCTCCATCTATCCCGTCTCTCTCTCTCTCTCTCTCCCGTCTCCCTCTCTCTCTCTCTCTCTCTCCCGTCTCCCTCTCTCTCTATACCTCTCTCTCTCTCTAGTCTATCTCTCTCTATTTCCTGTCTCTCTCTCTATCCTCCCCTCTCTATCTTCTGTCTATCTCTCTATCCCTATCTCTCTATCTATCCCCCTCTCTCTCAATCTCTCTATCCCTCTCTCTCAATCTCTCTTTATCCCTCTCTCTATCCCACTCTCTATCTCTCAATCTCTTTCTCTATTCCTCTCTCTCAATCTCTCTCTCCCAATCTCTCTCTACCCCTCTCTGTCTATCTCTCTCTATCCCTCTCTCTCTATCCCTCTCTCTCTATCCCCTTCTCTCTCTCTATCCCTCTCTCGCTCTATCCCCCCCTTCTCTCTCTCTATCCCTCTCTCTCTATCCCCCCCCTCTCTCTCCATCTTCCCCCTCTCTCTCCATCCTCCCCTTCTCTCTCTATCCCCCCTCTCTATCCCTCTTCTCTCTCTATCCCCCCCCCCCTCTCTCTCTATCCCCCCCTCTCTCTATCCCCCCTCTCTCTCTCTATCCCCCCTTCTCTCTCTATCCCTCTCTCTCTCTATCCCCCCCCCTCTCTCTCTATACCTCTCTCTCTCTCTAGTCTATCTCTCTCTATTTCCTGTCTCTCTCTCTATCCTCCCCTCTCTATCTTCTGTCTATCTCTCTATCCCTATCTCTCTATCTATCCCCCTCTCTCTCAATCTCTCTATCCCTCTCTCTCAATCTCTCTTTATCCCTCTCTCTATCCCACTCTCTATCTCTCAATCTCTTTCTCTATTCCTCTCTCTCAATCTCTCTCTCCCAATCTCTCTCTATCCCTCTCTGTCTATCTCTCTCTATCCCTCTCTCTCTCTATCCCCCCCTCTCTCTCTATCCCTCTCTCGCTCTACCCCCCCCCTTCTCTCTCTCTATCCCTCTCTCTCTATCCCCCCCCTCTCTCTCCATCTTCCCCCTCTCTCTCCATCCTCCCCTTCTCTCTCTATCCCCCCTCTCTCTATCCCCCTCTCTCTCTATCCCCCCCCTCTCTCTCTATCCCCCTCTCTCTCTCTATCCCCCCTCTCTCTATCCCCCTCTCTCTATCCCTCTCTCTCTCTATCCCCCCCTCTCTCTATCCCTCTCTCTCTCTCTATCCCCCCCTCTCTCTCTCTCTATCCCCCTCTCTCTCTATCCCCCTCTCTCTCTATCCCCCCCTCTCTCTCTATCCCCCCCTCTCTCTATCCCTCTCTCTCTATCCCTCTCTCTCTCTCTATCCCCCCCTCCTCTCTCTATCCCCCTCTCTCTCTATCCCCCCCTCTCTCTATCCCCCCCTCTCTCTCTATCCCCCCCTCTCTCTATCCCTCTCTCTCTATCCCTCTCTCTCTCTCTATCCCCCCCCCTCTCTCTCTATCCCTCTCTCTCTCTCTATCCCTCTCTCTCTCTCTCTCTCTCTGTGTCTCTCACACTCTGAGTGGAGCCGTTGACATCCTCGCGCCGTCTCAAACCAAACCGTTTAGAATCCCGGCGGCGTCCGTCACTGAACAGCTTCCCCCCCCCCACGAGCCGAGCCTGGCGGGGGGAGAGGGGGGGGGAGAGGAGGGGACACTTTAAACACCCACCGTCAAACCAAAAAACTTCGGGAAATGAAAAAAAAACACACAAAAAAGCTTCCGAAAGATTTATAATAAACCAAAGAGAGAGAGAGAGAGAGAGTGGAGGGCCCGGATCCTGACCGGAAGTGGACGGACGGGATTGCAGGCGACACACTTCCGGCGGTCGCGGGGGCCGTGACGTGTGTGAGCGGCGGATCATGTGACACGGGAGAGGGACCCGGACGTGGCGGAGGGTTGGGGTGGGGGAGGGGTGTTGGGGTGGGGGTTTGGGGTGGGGGAGGGGGTTGGGGTGGGGAGGGGGGTTTGGGTGGGGAGGGGGGTTTGGGGTGGGGGAGGGGGTTTGGGGTGGGGGGGGGGGTTGGGGTGGGGGAGGGGGGTTTGGGGTGGGGGAGGGGGGTTTGGGGTGGGGAGGGGGGTTTGGGGTGGGGAGGGGTGTTGGGGTGGGGGGGTGTTGGGGTGGGGGAGGGGGTTTGGGGTGGGGGGAGGGGGTTTGGGTGGGGGAGGGGTGTTGGGGTGGGGGGGTGTTGGGGTGGGGGGGGGTGTTGGGGTGGGGGAGGGGTGTTGGGGTGGGGGAGGGTGGGGTGGGGCTGGTGTGGGGGAGGGGGGTCTGGGTGGGGCTGGTGTGGGGGAGGGGGTCTGGGTGGGGCTGGTGTGGGGGAGGGGTGGGGGGCTTTGGTTTGTGGGCCCGGAGGCTGACCTGGACCTGGAGTCCGTCCCCAGAGCTGAACCTGGCTCCGGGCCGCCGTGCCCGGCTACGGGATGTCGGGACTCGAGCTCACCCTCTCGGGCGGTTACGGGTGTAATAATAAATGAATTAATAAATTAATAATAATAATAATATTCCCGGCATTTTCGTGCGGCCCCTCGAAGAGCTTCGCAGGACACACTGGAAGGTGTAGTGACTGCGTATCCGGTTCGCGACCCGGGCGGGTTCCGCAGTATTCCTGGGCGCTGCCGATGACAGCACAGTCCAGTCCGGCTCATCGACGGCAGGAGTTGGAAGGGAAGACCAGGCACTGGGTGGGGGGGGGGGGAGGGGGTTTTGGGCGGGGAGTCATCCCACTCAGCTCCTGTTAACCCTGCAGACCCGTCAGGCTCAGGAACTGGACGACCAAGAGCGTTACAAATTCCAAACACGTCACCTTGGAACCAGTTGGCCCTCCCCGCTTACCGCCCCAGCTTCAGGATGGCCTCGCAGTGGGTCAGACCAGGAACACATTGAATCATGCGTTGAACTTTTGCGGTCAGAGGCCGGACACATGACCCACAGGAATCGAGCCGGCAGCCTGGCTCAGTGGGTGCAGGACCGTCACCTCTGGAATTGGAAGTTTTTTGGTTCAAGTTCCACCTGGTGATCTCCATCCCCACAGTCTAGGCTGATGCTCCAGTGCACTGCTGGGGCTGGGCTGTGTTGTGAGAGGTGCCGTCCTCAGGCTGAGACATTAAGCCCGAGGTTCTGTTGCCTGTTCCTGTGAATGTTAAAGGTCCTACGGGACTGTATAGTGTATTCCCTGATCCTAACCCCCAGCTCGGGTCCAAATCGTTGACTATCCAGCACCTTGGGACATCCTCCTGATGTGAAAGGCTCTATACAAATGTAATTTTATAATATCAACTGAGCTCACCCATGTGAATGAGTGTCCTGAGCTAGAGCAATGTACAACTTGAACACGACTTCTGTGGATAGAAACTGAATTGATTTCCAAACAAGAAAGCTTTAAGTGCTTGATGTGCTATCTGAGCAAATGAAGAAAATAAGCTACTTAGTGTGGTGCAATAAAGTAAATACAGACATTTTGAACTCACATTAGCAGTGTAGTGTATCTGTAATTTCATGTGTAAGACACTTGATTAACCAGTCTTGACAATGTTTAAGAGCTTAAAAACTGGACTGATAGAAATATGTAGCACGTCTTCATTCATTTGGGCAAAATGCCCACGGTTCAAAGAACAGCGGACTCGATTTAGCTTTGGAATGGCAGATTTTTAAAGTTAGTAACAATGACGACATGGTGGAATGTGCCCAGCCCTCACTGAGAATATAATAGCCACAAATTGAATAACTTTGAGAAGCCAGGCAAAGGTCACGTTCAGAGTAGTTACAGTAGTTCATAGTTTCCCGACAATACTGTCATTTCAAAGAATGCTTTCATTGTTTTTTTCCTTTGTTTTATAAATGTAAGCTTCAGTGAATTCATTTGGTTTTGAGCGTGGTTCTATCCCTTCCTGTTTTCCAAAGAAGCACGATAGCATTGCTACATGGAATTGGCAGAGATTAAAATGCGTGCAAACCCTCCTTTCCATTGAATTAAGTGTCTCGGCACTCATGCTAAAATGGATAAGAGGAAGACAGATTTACTGCATAAATAATTAGTAGAACCATATGGGAGGTGGTTCAGAGCTCAGGTTCCCTATTGTGATAACAAGATGCCTGGGTCTACTATTCTTTTACGTTAGTGACAGATCCTAGAAGGTTTAATGACGTTTAAAGGGTAAGTTTGTAGGAAAAATTTGGAAGAGTTAATATAGCTTCTGTCCTATTCAGAATTTTAGTAACCAACCAATGGGGTATCTTTCCATATTGAAACGTACAGTGCAACAGGCTTCCTGCTATTCATGGCTCTGCACAAATTCTAAGTTAATGCAAAATATTTGGCTTGTTTTAACATGCAACGAGAATGAAGGAAACATTAGCATTTGAAGAACAAACTTTTCACAAAACGCGTATAAGCCTTTGTATGAAAATGTAAATTTAGTTTGGGGGAAAGTTATTGACTTCAAAAAATGTATTTTTATTCCTTGAGCACTCTGGCAGTATCACAATCACAGCTCAGGTAATTCTTATCATATTTTCTGGACAGCGAAAGCATGTTTCAAAGTGAACTCAAGTGCATTGACTTTATAGCAATGTTTCATTGTTTATGAGATGCCACGGTGTATCTCTGCAGCCCTGTTTTGGTCTGGTAATTAAAGTCATATTGTCTGCAGCCAAGTGAAACATGCAGTGCTGAAATCTAGTTCTATTTTAATTTCATTACTTTGCTTCCAAAATGATTGGAGAATACCATTAACGCAGAAAATGTGTCAATTATTACCAGAATAAAAATGAAATCGCACTAATTTCCCTCAGTATTAGAACAGAGCTGTAGCAAAATAGAGTAACGCAATGCAATGGTGTTGATATTTTCTCAAATATTGCTACAGGTTAAAAGAAAAACAATTTCAACCGCTGGTTGGAAGATTTAAAAACAAGTTGATAAAAAGATGTTATGTATTCATTTGAGATCGGAATGGTTTTCTTCAATTGAATGGAATATTTAACATTTGCACAAAAAAATCTTAATATTGTGCCTAATAGTAAACATTCATTCTTTATATCTTTTTTTTGGGGGGGGGAATTAAATTAAAAAATGGTTGCATTGAGTCATTTAAATGTTTTTCTTTGAATAGTCATTCAATTTGGTTCATTGTTGCAGGTTCAAAGTTCTTCTCAATAAAAACATGTAACTTTTTTCTCTCCAAACAAAGATATTAGAACAACAGCATGAAGGTGACCATGATTCCTGAGTCTAACACATAGATCGTGTGTCAGATGCTGAATGACTGCTAAAAATAAACAATGCATTGACAACTGTCACTGCTAAATTTATTATCCAGTCAGGGAATAGTACCCTTTTGTGTTTTATAATAAATACATGCATGCACTCCATTCACTACCAGATCTATTGTCCAACAAAGCGAGTAGTTTGATTCTCATAAGGAAGGTAAGAATGATTCGAGGATTTATTATGAAAGGGAATTATAGTCTGCAGAATTATAGTCTTTGAATCTACTTTGGGACTGTACAACGCTTAATTTTACAATGTTAACTGGCATATTAAAAATTGTCGAGCTGCTCGCATTTGAGTAACAACATCAGTTTGAAAATTGTGTAGATAATAATGGGTACGTGTAATGAAAGGTATTCATGTTAGAAGAAATGATGAAGTGGAACTGCCCAACAAACCCACTATTGGAGTTTTGTAAATAACTTGGATCTCTCTGAATTATTAGTATTTAATGAGTCTATCACATGGACAGCCAGAAAGAATGGTGTTCAGGGAAAAAACACACACTTAATGTATGTGATAAAGTATTAATATGAGAATGGTGATTCAGAGAATAACATTAATATTGCCTCATTGTTTAGTGTGCATGTGTCATAAATAATTAATTGTGCAAATGTATGATGGATTTTTTTGCCAAACTTAGCATTTTAGGAGCACAGATAGTTTTTTGTGGCGGAAAAAAGCACATTGAAGAAACCTATAAGCACGTTGAAACATCTTAATGTGAGAAGACGCCAAATGCCAAAGAATATGATTACACTACACTGGAAGTGGGATAACTGTAGTCAATATGCAACTAACTGCTTGGAATTTCAGATAAAGGAAAATGAACCCCGGTTGTCTACAGCAACACCTTGTAACTCCTTTTGGGAGAAAATGTCTGTTTCCACTTCATCCAATGTAGGGAACCACAGTCCTTGCAGACAGAAAAAAAAAAGTCATTTGCTCACACTGCTGTTCAAAGTGCCATATAAGTTTTGCATTATTGGAATTGAATACACATTTTGTAATCCAAAGGGAGATCTGAATATTTAGGTCAAAGAGTCTGCGCTATTATAATGTAGTTTTAGAACCAGTCAGAAAACGGCCTAAAATGTACTGAATAGTAACCAACATTTTTAGCTGATTAAGCTCTCAACAGTATCCCCAAAGCACATTCTGGGACCCCCAAGCCGTGGCTCTTCCCAATCTGCGTTAATGCTTCCTGGAATTACGTAAACCAAATTTATCCCTCCAGGGAGGGAGTGTACGTTCCATTCCAGACACAGAGAATTTTCCATGTGTAGGTTGGCATACATATGTAGAAATCTCAGTCGGGTTTGGATACTCTTGAACACTGTGTTGGGTTTCCACACGTGTCAGACACTCGGCCGACCAAAAAAAAGTCCCCGAATTACAATAGAACTATTAAATGTTTCCAGAGGAGTTCTCCATTTCAGAGTAAATGTAGATGTAGAAAATATTAATGCTAAAATGTACCGGTGTTAAGTGACAGATCATGTTTGAAAGCCAGATGTGCAGTTACTAATATTGTTTCAATATCGACTTTCACAAGTTTCATATCTTCATATTTTCCTTGTGGGCCTGGTTTCGAATAGGGGTACTTACATTTCAGAGATATAGGGCCTAACTTGTGAATAGTATACACATAGCTACAGAGGGAATTAGGGGTGCCTTTAATTATGTAATTAGCAACCAATGCAATCTGTAATTGTTTTTCTTGGTTAATTACAGTTAAGGGGATCTTGTAATTAACTCTGCACATACAATTTACATTTGTTTGCTCAACCAACAAATTAGATCGCACTATCCAATCCTGATAGTAAATGTTTTCATTGCCTCACTGACCAAACAATAAATCTACCGGTTATTTTGTTTTGACTAGAACTTAAGTATCCACTTGTAGGAGTTTTACTATAGTAGTAATAATATTTATCATCCTTGCATTTGATATAGTGCCTTATCATGTTGTCAAGATATCTCCTCCAAGAGTTTCACAGGATATATTGCAAAGTGGCTTAACTGTATTTTGGGGGTAAACACCATCACAGAGTCCCTTTCCCTTGCCAACAAAGTTTTAATGTAGCTGGTTGTTAATAAACATTTCTGGGTTCCCTTCAAAGCATTAGATCTCTGGTATGAGGAGATACTCTCGCACTGCGTCATATAACCTGAGTTTACACCTTCACCATATCAGACTATTACCTAAATATTGGGGGACAAAACAACTATATGTTTTTTTCCAGGTTGAATATCACAGTCCTAAAATGTCTGAAAGGTAAGTTTCTTTTTAACTTTGAAACTAGATTTGTCTCAAAGACTATAACTCTGTCTGTAGATAAAGGTTTAGTTATTTCACTGTAACACCTGGCCTGCCTCCTTCTTTCACTGAAACTTCATAAAACCTTTTGGTTATTTGTTTGCCAGGCACACAACAGAGTGGCATTAATCATTCCAAAAAGTATTTGCCCATCCGCGTTTAAGATCCTTGCACTCACTCGTAGAGCCTTCCACAGTCTTGCTCCTAGTTATTCATTTTCCCAGCCAGGGTGCAAACCCTTGACTGTCCAGCACCTTGGGACGTTCTCCCGACGTGAAAGGCGCTATATAAATGCAATTCGTGGTGGTGGTTGTTGTTGATGTGATAATATCACCAGTGATATTGAATGTTCCATTTTTCACCTGTTAGTTTTCTGTAAGATTTATAAACTCATCTGCAGTCACTACAGATCTTTGTGTCCTCTGAAGATCTATCTAAATAACACCCATAAAAAAATCTGCATCATGGATTTTTAAACAGCATACAACGCACATATGTCATTGATTACAAAGTAAGTAATGTAAGCTTAAGAAATGCATTCACTTCACTTAAAAATTCAACTCATACATAAAGCTGTCCAATGGAAAATAAGACTAAATGGGTGGCTCTTTCAAAGAGCCAGGACGGGTATCGTATAATGGGACAATTAAGCTTAAATTGTAAATGTATACTGAATATCATTTCTGAATAGTAATGCTTTTCTCTCTTTTTCTCTCTCTCTATTTCAGTGAAGAGGTAAGTCTTTTAAATACACCTGGAGTTGTGTTTTCATAGCAGTCGCATGTGTTCCAAAAGTGAGCCATATCTTGTTGGTTTTGATTTCCCCAGATTTCGACAGAAACGTATAACCGTTATAATAATAATAATCCTTGCATTTGATATAGCATGGTATATATTCAAGACGTCGCAAAGCGCTTCAAAAAAATTTAGTATAAAGTGAATTGACTGCATATTTTGTGGGTGAAACGCAGTAGCCAATTGCGCGCAGCAGTGTCCCACAAACAGTCATGAATTGAGTGACCAAATTATTATTATTATTTTATTTATTTGTTTTTTTGAAGGGTTTATTACCCCTGGAAAAGCGATCCTCCAATCGACTAAAACCAGGTTCCCAGTTACTGCTCGGTAAATTAGAGGCGTGTGGAGTAAGAAAACTTGCCTAAGGTTTCAGCCCAGCCCTGCCTGGGAATCAAACCCGGGTCCTCTCACTTGCGAGGCGAACCCTCTACGTGTCACATCAGGTATTCCTCAGATATAACGATTGTAATAATGAAACCATTAATATTGTGGCAGTATGACCAGGATGCTGTTGAAGAAACTATTGAAGAGACTGAAGAGGTTGAGGAGGTGGAAGAGCCTGAGCCCGAACCTGAACCAGAACCACCTCGACCAGCACCTCCCATGTCACGGGCTCCACCACTGAAGCCAAACAATATGAATGAACTCAATCAAAAGGTATTCAACCTTCCTTAATGGGTAGGGCAGGATAGGGTGGTCCTAGCTGGTCAAGCAGCGGGAAAGCTTGCCGATATCAATGGCAAGCTATGCGGTTATAGCTGGTTAGACTCCAGCAGTTACCCCAACTCACACTCTGGGCTCCAATTGCAGGTGGGGAGTACTCTGAGCTTAAGTTCAATAATGTTCAGTTACCCTATGTTATATCTTGATTAGAATTAGGATTCTGTTGTTCATTTGGATATAATGTCAAGGTTAATAGCACTGAAATAATCCTGTTTTTCTTTGTTTTTTCTTTATCACGCCAGAGAAAATCTAAGATCTCAGCGTCACGCAAGCTTCACCTTAAGGTCAGGCAAATGTTTTATGTCTTGGCTTATTAATTACCCCGAAGGTGTTTTTTTTCTCCTCTCCCAAAACTTAACGTTTTCACGATTTGCATTTGTTTTGTTGCAAATTTTTTTTTTTTTTGCAGATTTTAATGTTGAGCAGAGCTAAAGATGACCTCGAAAAAGAAATAACAGATCGAAAGGAAGAGAAGGAGAAATTCCTTACAGAGCGTATGGTGCCTCTTAACTTCTCTGGCCTTTCTCTGACTGACTTACAAGTGAGATATTATTCGACTGTATTTCATAGCGTATTTATAAAAGTTCAAAGCATCTACTGGTCTGTCCGGTCCTTCCACTTAGCTACACAAATGTAATTTGTTGTTGTTGAATCATGACTTTGCTTTAATATCAGAAGAATATGATTACATTTTACGAACTGTCATAAAATAAACATTTCAGTTAAAACCCTGGCTCGTTTTAACAATGGTAAGTCCTCTCTTCCCTTGTTGTGAAGCTATTTTAGTGCTCATATTAATATAAAATGTTCTTGAAGTTGCACTGAATTTTGGAACAGTGTCTATCATCACCTCCCTATTCCCCCATCCCCACAGCTTAGTCCATATCACTGTCTCTGTAAAACCCTCTGAGACTTTGATCTACATGAAGGGCACAAAGTAAATGCAAGTTATTGTTTTTGTTTCTTTCTATCTTTTTTGGACATTTTGTTTCTTTCTCTTTTTTTCTTTCAAGACCCTATATTTCAAGGTTGTAGCCTCATTTTTCTTTGCCTTATCCTTACCCTAGTAAAGGTGTTTCAGGTTAGGACTACACAGAATTTCACACATCAAAAGCAAGAACACAGAGTTGATTAGTCACTCCCTGACCTAAGGCACTGAGGCTAATTGTAATATACAGTACCTCCTTCCACATAGTGTAAGAATGATTCACTCAAATGGAAGGTTAAACTTGGCATCTCCCGGTCTGAATGATGAAAGTATTCAGTGGATAGATTCACTGAGACATGGAAGAGCCTTACCCATGTTCTAAACATAAATATAACAATATAACACTCAATTGCCCTTTGATCACCTCTCTTCTATTCACTCCATTTCACATCTTGCTTGAGTTTGCACCATATCCCCACCATTCCAAACCATTTAAAGTGCTACATGGACACACGTTGTTGTTGCTGACAAGCATGTAACTTTTTTTATTGCAGAAAATGTGCATAGATCTTCACAAGAAAATAGATATGGTTGATGAGGAAAGGTACGACATTGAGTTCAAAGTTGGCAAGAATAATTACGAGGTACCCGACAAGTCTGACCCACTTTTTTTTGCCTCTTATTATATTGGTATGCCAATGCTGTAAAGGCAGCACCTTTAATTCCTGACGTAACACTATTCTGCCCACAGATTCAGGACCTGTCTCTGAAAATCCTTGATCTTAGAGGGAAGTTTAAACGTCCTAATTTGCGTAGGGTCCGTGTTTCTGCTGATGCCATGCTGCGGGCTTTGCTGGGATCCAAGCACAAAGTATCCATGGATCTGAGAGCCAACCTGAAGTCAGTCAAAAAGGATGAATCAGAAAAGGTAATAATAACTATTTTTCCTATATATATCCTTCAGGTGAAACATTACATCGAAATCTCCCTGCCTGTTCAGGTGGGCGTTAAAGATTTTTCTGAAGTGCACCAGACTTTAATAATAATAATAATAAGTCTTGCATTTGATACGCCTTATCGTGTCTTTAAGACGTCTCAAAGCGCTTCACAGAATATACTGTAAGGTGAATTGACTGTATATTTTATGGGCGAAACGCGGCAGCGAATTGCGCACAGCAGTGTCCCACAAACAGTCGTGGATTGAGTGACCAGATTTCAATTTTTATTTCTTTATTTTTGAAGGGATTATTATTGTTGTTATTATTTTTAAAGAGATACGTTCAGTTAACTACCACTTTATTTATTGGACCAAATAACTACACTTCTGAAAAATAAAATTTAAAAGAAAACTTTACAAGGCTTGAGAGCTTTCACTTCAAAATTTTGCTTTGTGTTACCTCTTTCTAGGAGCGTAATGCAGAAGTGAGCGACTGGCGTAAGAATGTGGAAGCCATGTCAGGGATGGAAGGCAGGAAGAAGATGTTTGATGCTGCTGCACCTCAGTGAGTGTTGTTGGACACTAACTATATCACTGTTATGGACGGCATTTCATTGTGAACTGAAAATATTGCTTGTGTGTTTTTTTTTATTTGTTTTTCTCTGCAGATAACCAACCAGCTGTGTGTATGGGATATTTCATCATATGAAGGTGTGTGCAGGTTGCTTTCCTTCCAGCAGTACAACATTTTTAATAGACAAGGATTAAACATTTACAAACAAGCACCAGCCCTCCTGACATTTGCCTTTAAAATAGACTTTGTAAATTTCCTGTGATTATACTTAGCAATTAAATATTTACAAAGATATATTTTGCTGTTTAAAGTGACTACTGGCTTGCTATTGAATCAGCAATAAAAGTACGTATCTGACTCTTGCCTTTTATTATCAGACTTCTATTTTCTTCGATGAAATATGAAGGGTGTTCATTTCATGTAAGGATATAGGAATGCCCTCATGCTCTTGAAGGAGTTCAGGTAGCCTCCTGCTAAGTGCTGGCTGGTTACTTAATAATAATCCTTGCATTTGATATAGGGCCGTATTACCTTGTTGAGATGTCTCAAAGCGCTTCACAGGACATATTGTAAAGTGGATTGACTGTGTATTTTGGGGCTGAATGTGGCAGCCAATTTGTGCACAGCAATTTCCTGTAATACCCATTGAGACGTGAGAGTACTACCACTGAGCCAGGCGAACACATCTATTTCCATCATCATCTTACATCTGTTTATTACAAGGCAGAATTTCTAAATGATAAAGACTACGAGATTCTGGTCAACACGGATTTTTTTTCTAGTAGGTATACGTTAAATGGGTTTATCCAAGTTCTACAAATACAATATATTCTTGGTAGTAAGGAGTGCATTATCCAGACAGTTAAAGGCATATACAAAGTACAAATGCTCAGATGTACACTGCTCTAACCATAATATGCCTCGGGTATTGCATACAATCCAGGTGGCTGCAATTTAAGGGGCCACAAAGATATATTTTATCATTTCTTAGATCCAGCATGGAAGAGAGCAATGAGGATGATCCTCAATTGTAGAGGGATGAACAAAAGATAAGCTAGCCTCAGTGATAGATATCCTATAGAGGTACATGAAATACTAAAGATGGTCAAGTATACCTCGAGCAATACTTTCAACAGGACGAGAGCACAAATTCCAGGTCGTGAAGGAAATATTTATTTAGAGAGAGTAATAAGATTGCACTGAGGACATTGGAATCATATAATGCATAACAACAACTTGAGTTTACTTAGCACCCTTCATGAAGGACAAAGTCTTGGAGCATTGAGACCTAGACATAGATTGCCTTCAAACCTCACCCTCGCTTACAAATCCCTTTGTGTCCTTGCACCTCCCTACCTCTGTGATGTTCTACAGGCTCACTTTTCTATTCGTCCACTCCGCTCAACAAACCTGCACCTGCTTCGTGTCTCCCATCCGATCTGCCCCACTATTAGTGGCCAAACCTTAAGCAACTATATCAACACCCTCTGGAATTCCCTCTCTGTTACTCCCTCTCTCCACCTATCTTCAAAAGCTGCCTAAAAATCGTATTTCTTCGACTGTACCTATGGCCATCTCCGTACTCCCTCTTCCCCCATGTCATACATCGGGGCATATTTGTAATTGATAAATTTCAAATGACTAAACTTCAACCAGAGGCTGGATTATTTTCCATTGACAGGAAACCCAATGCAATGCTGACACGGAGATCACACACTTTATTCATTGAGGGAGGGAACTGTGCCGAAACTGTGATGTTCAATGTAAAACAATTGACTTGGAATTGTAAATAAAAAAAGCAAATATGCTTCTGTTCCTGGCTGTATAAAATGGGAACTGTGTTGTGCATTCTTTGACGTTCCATTCAATTAATAATAATAATAATTCTCGTATTTGATATATAGTGCCTTATCAGGTCTTCGAGAAGTCTCAAAGTGCTTCACAGGATATGCTGTAAAGTGAATTCACTGTATAATTTGTGGGCGACTTCACAGTATGTAACAACCCAATGGGGCAGATGCAGGACTTGACGACAATTAGATATATAGCATAAGAAGCACAAAAGATTATTCAGACAATCAGTCTTTTTCTGCAAACATGTAAAATTTACCTTGTCGTGGGCACTGCTGAACCACTTAGTCTCCTGAGAAAACGTTCTAACCCTATATTCCCAAATTCTCAATGATAATCAAGAAAAAATCGCTGGACTATCCATGTATTCCCCACATCTCCAGTCTGGTCGCTGTTATCCTGCTAGTCCTCTGCTGAAAACTTTAATGAATCAATACCCTAACATCAGGGAATATAACAGCACAGAAGCAGTCTACGCTGATATTTTTCTGCACTGTAGTAATTTAACTCCACTGTCTTCCTCACTCGCCATACTATTCAATATTCCTCGTTGTCAAGTATCTATCTAATTTCTGCTTAAAGTAATGTTTTTAGTGTTGGATAAGTAGCAAAGTCCTGTAGCTCGTTAGAGCACTCACTTTGCAAGCAAGAGACGTGAGTTCAATTTCAGGCAGAGGGCGAAACCTTGGGCAAGTTTCCTTACTCCACACAGAGCCTAATAATAATCCCTCCAAAACAAAACAATAATAAATTGGTCATTTTCAATCTACGACTGTTTGTGGGACATTGCTGTGCGCAATTGGCTGCTGCGTTCGCCCACAAATATACAGTCAATTCACTTTACAGTGTGTTCTGTGAAGCGCTTTGGGACGTCCTCCCGACGTGAAAAGCGCTATATCAAATAGAGGATTATTATTATTATAAAGAAACCACCATTTTCTGCAGATAATTTGATTTTCTCATTTTACAAAGGATAGGGCAAGGTAAAATCGAGGACTTTACTGAGTGATTGTTTTCATTTGACTAACACATAGCCTCAAGATTTACCATATACAGGAAATGTCAGTGCATATTTATATTTAAATGATGTATCAATCTTTGTCACCAACAACAACAACTTGCACTTATATAGCATCCTCCATGCAGGATAGTGTCTCAGAACGCTTAACAGTGGTGGAGCCTGACTCCGAGCCAGGTCGAGGGGAGATAACTGTACATTAATCAGTGATCATTACTACTCTGGTAAGCTGAACTTCACTTACACTGTTCTATGATATTTTCTTACTAATTCAGGAGCTGACTCATTCTGACATTTCCACCACTTGCTTATTTCAACTTTCATTACAATCTGAAATCACGTCCTTATAAAATCATATGAGCACATACGTTTCATTCAACTTTGTTGGTCGTGTTGGATTTACAGAAGAATTAAAACCTCCAAACAGAATCAGTAGTGAGTAGTAGTGTTCTTAACTCAATAGCTGATTCTCGCCTCAATACATTCCTCAGATCGTTACATTGGCCATCCTAATCCTGCCCATAGTTCTTTAACCTTTTAAAAAATATATATAAATGTGTCTCCTTACTCCTCCTTACAATTCAAGAGTGGGAAAGCACAGGAGGGTATTCAGAACATCCTGTTTATCCTTACTCTTGGAAAGATCTATCCATTGAATACCTGCCCTTTCCTCATTCCATTTGATATTCATGTTATCCTGCATCAATTTACAGTATTTCTATTTCCCAATTGTAACAAACCTACAATACATTGTTGGATAACACTTGAAGAGGAAACAGACAATTGACTGGAAACCAATGAAAGAAGACCAGGAAGTACAAAAAGGGATTCTGGGCGAATAGCTGGTGTGGGTTTAATGGTTAGAGTATTTTGACCTAACTTACCTGAGTTGTGAGAGTCACCATGAGGTGAAAGACCAATTCATCTCGAGGGTTGCTGGCAAGGACACTGGGAGAAACTCTTTTCAAACAGTTTTGTGGGATCTTTAATGTCTCTCCGAAAAAGTAGACAGAAGTTTGGTTTAATATCTCATTTACCTCCAACAATGCAATACTCCCCCAGTACTGGTCATCTACAATATAAGCTCACAATCCTGACATGGCCTTATACACACACAATCTGCTGTCCTGAAAGCAAGAGTGCTACCAAGTGAGTGTTTATTGCATTTATTAATTAACCAAACATATAAATCAGAACGTGCATTGTGCTGAGTTGGGATAGAAAAATATTCACTGGAATAAGATCTATCTTTTAAGGAGGTGTTAATCTTTGTTTTGAAATGTGCGCAGCTGTTATCATTGGTATATTTTAGAATACAACTATTTTCTCCAAATATAAACACGCAGAGAAAGGACATTGAAAGTCATTGCAAGAGCGGAAAGGTCTAACACATGCAGATGATTGTGTCAGCAAGGCACGCAGAGCCTATGGTTCTGGCTAGACATAACGCTTGAGATTAACACCTGTTGCTTTTGTATTAAACGCCAAAGGAAAAATTTATGCAGACCAACTCATTGTTCACTTCAACACCTTTGCAGATTCTCTTCGCTTATAAGGTCAGTTTCCACTGTTGAGATTTGAGGAAGAAAAATGTCCTAAGAACAGGTCAGTCTTCTTACGTGGTTTTTCTTAAGCCATCTACAAGGCACAGCTAAACCACCGTTTATCTCCTTTCTGCTTTAGCACAAAGCCTATGGCTCTCTTTTCTTTGCTCAAAGAGGAATCTGTTTCGTTCTGAATGCTTCAACTGACTCCATGCAGCTGTCAGTCTATCACATAAGTCAACAATTCTGAAAGATGAATCATTTATTTTGGAAGTTTCTTATAACGGGGAGTCCCTTAGTATTTTCCCTTCTATTTCTGTTTGGAGAACTTCTCCACATTTACCGCACAAATCGCCTGTATTGTGTTAAAAATGTGGAGCACTCTGACACCCTATCCTGTGTGAAGAGCACTGAATAAATTCAAGTAATTGTTGATATTTCGAGCCCTTCCCCCTTTCCCTTGTTTTTTTTCTTTCTCTCCAGCATTTTAGAGCTGAGTCCTTGGCTTAGAAATACCTGTTAGTCCATTCAGTCCTTCAGCCTTTCAAGGTCAAAATAAGTATGATGTTTAATGTCAAATATTCTCCTTGGGGAGGAGGTAAACAGTATATCTCTGGGATAGATGTGATTATTACACGCCATGCATTGCAAAGCCAAGGTTCTTCAATACGACTAGGAATTATAAACATGTCTTTAACCCTGCAGAGCTCAAATCCTAATGTTAGTCATCTTACTGTAAGATTTGCCTGTGATTCATATTGGTAATCTGCTTAGCGACCATTTGCTTCATTTTTCTAGTAACAGGAGAATTATTTCAAATAAAAAGGCATAACAATTGCACCAGAAAAAAAAATCCAACGTATCATCTCATTTTTTAGCAGATCTGCAAAGTCTTGCAAATAATGCCGTTATAAAGTTGGTGAAGGTGTTTGATTTAATTCTTTTTTATATCGTTTTTAGCATCTTGCTACATTTAGCAAAATTCACTCTCCCTCAACCCCTCTGCCTTGCCCCCTCTCTCCCCTTTTTCAAGTCCCGCCTGAAAACCTTCCTCTTCGACCGTGCTTACAGCCACCTCCTCACCCCACCCCACAGCTTGGAGTCAGGCTATGCCACTGTTCTGAGACTCTGAGACTCTACCCTGTGCGGAGGGTGCGATATAAGTGCAAGTTGTTGTTGTATTTAAACTTTCAGTTAAGTCATTCCGCATAATAATAATAATCTCGATAATAATAATCCTTACTTTTGAAATAGCGCCTTATCACATCATTGAGACAACTCAAAGCGCTTCACAGAATATACTATGAAGCGAATTGATTGAATATTTTGTGGGTGAAATAAAACCAGCTTATTTTTATTGATAAATTTACTATAGTGGGATCCAGTAAATGTGAGATTCCTGACTTAATTAATATGTAAATTATTTATTTATTAATGTACGATTCTATTTTCCTTTTGCACTTATCAAGTTAAGGTAAGTCAACGCTAGGAATTATAGCTTTTATTCTTCTCTTCTGGTACTGAGTGTAAACATCAGCAGAGCTACATCAAATGCTAGGTCATTTGCCACATCAGTCATCCTTAATTAATTCCACAATATTAACAATAATCTTACATTTGATATAGCCTTTCGTGTTCGATGGATGTTCTCGAAGTGCTTCGGAAGATGTACAATAAATTGTAGTGACAGTGTATATTTTTAGGCAAATCCTGCAGCCAATTTGAACACAGCAATAATCACAGCAATAATGTTTAAAAAAAAATTACTAGCAGTAAATTTATATCCACGAAAAGATCTTCCCATTTCATTGGGGGTTCCAACCACAATATGTAATAGCTGACATCCAGGATATAACGCAAACCTTTTTAATATGTGAACAATATGAGAGTAGTACCTTGAGAGTAGTAACAATAGTACCTTTGCAGGTTGATAAATAATTATCTTATCAGTATGTATGGGACGTGGTGACTACTTTAGGTCTTTAACGTTTTAAAGCTGCACTGAAATTATTCCATGATGTATTGTAATTGTATGCCAGTGGCCAATGAAGCTATAAAAGGAATGTGGAGAGAAATGATAGCACGAATGTGCAGGTCAGTGGACCATAGTGTGATGAAATAATGTCAGGACATAGCAATGTCATAGTTGTGGTACTATTTTAGCTGGCCACTCATAGTCAGATGAGAGGACACCAGGAAACAATAAATACACAACTTGTTCTTCTTCTCCGACGACATTAGAACCTGCATTTGTCTTCACAACAAAGAGCAGGTAAGAACCACTTCTGTGAAGGAGAGTGTAAATTAATGGCCAAATTCATCATTTTCTAAACGCTTTGTTGATATTTCTCAAATTTTCTTCAAACCCAACTTTCAATGTTAAAACATGATCACGTTTTTGTTACTTTAACACATAAAGCAGTTAAGGATTTTATTGGTTTACTGAGCTTTGTAAAGCATTGTATACATTTCGCACATTGAGTTATATCTGAAATTTGTTCGGAACATAGTACTAACTTAACCCGTTATAGAAATGAATTCTCTTAAAACGCACAATAATAATAATAATAATAATCCTTGCATTTGATATAGCGCTTTTCACGTCGGGAGGACGTCCCAAAGCACTTCACAGAACACACTGTAAAGTGAATTGACTGTATATTTGTGGGCGAACGCGGCAGCCAATTGCGCACAGCAATGTCCCACAAACAGTCATAGATTGAAAATGACCAATTTATTATTGTTTTTGGTTTTGGAGGGATTATTATTAGGCTCTGTGTGGAGTAAGGAAACTTGCCCAAGGTTTCGCCCTCTGCCTGGAATTGAACTCAGGTCTCTCGCTTGCAAACCGAGTGCTCAACCACTGAGCTACAGGACTCCACAATGTAATGCATAATGCAGTATTATTATTATTTTCCCTGTGCATGATATCGTGTATTACTTTCCCATTAATAAGATGTTTAAAGATTTTAACAGCTCAAAACATTCTAATGAGCTGGAATGAAGTAATAAAGTAATAGCCTTCTGTTGGGAAGGGTAGAGCCAGCAGATGGTAACACCAATTGTCTCCTGTCATCTGATCCCGAAATAGAGTGGCAATTATGATGACCTTACGAAGCACACATCAAAAATGTCAGACCTCAAGAAAGTGATTTATTTCAACACAAGCACAATGCATACACATAGCAAAGCAGAATAACCATTAATCCTTCTGATCCAAGGCGACCAAAACTCTGCTGTCAACATACAGAGCTCTATTTTCCTCTCTTAACTTAACCGGACCAAACTCCGTACCCACATCTCACCAGTTCTGGCCCAGGCTCCACTGGCTCCCCATCACCGAATGGATCGACTTCAAGTTCCTCACTCTCATGTTCAAATCCCTTCACTCCCTGGCACTTCCCCACCTCTCCTCCCTCCTCCCTCCCCAATCCACCAACCGGCACCTCCGCTCGACTGGCACCGGCCTCCTGCTCGTCCCTCGCACCCTCTGCCCCACCATCGGAGGTCAAGCATTCAGTCACTACGCCCCAAAACTCTGGAAAACTTTCCCTCAATCCCTCCGCTTTGCCCCCTTCCCTTTTTCAAGTCCCACCTGAAGACGTTCCTGTTCGACTGTGCTTACAGCCATCTCCCCCCCCCACACCCCCCCGGCTCGGAGTCTGCTCTGTCACTGTTAAGCGCTCTGAACCGCTACCCTGCGTGGAGGGTGCTATATAAGTGCAAGTTGTGTTGCTAACGGAAGCCGTGAGCTAATTTTGGAAATCTGAAATTGTTTCGGGATAAGTAACAAATTGCTAAAAGTTTTGTATAATTCTGGGGTTTGGTGACGTGAGAAAAACAACAAAACAACGTTCAATACCAACAATTACAGATATTGTTGCCAGTTGTGTAGACTGATGGAAAAGAATGGAAATGGTGCCATTTTGGGGACATGAAATTGCATACTGCAATGACATCAATGAACGTTGTTCATGAAGTGCTACACCTGAGTCAACAAAGTACTTATATAAGAACTATTCAATCATGGAAATACAACACAGGAGGCCAGTCAGAACAATAAGACTTTGACGGTGGCAACGCCTTTGCAAGAGATAACAATCATAATCCCTCATTTTGTTCTCCACCCATCATATTAATCTTCTTCAAATGTTCAATTATTCTTATCCAATTCCCTTTTAAATGTTGTTAATAGTCACTCAGGGCAAAGCATTCAATAGTCTCATAATCTTATGTGTGAAAAAAGTTTCTACTAATTTCCAACCCTTACTTTTCTATATAAGAATATTACATAGTAATTATAATTTTTTTTCTCTATTTGGTGGCATATTTTCCTCGTGTGGATATACGTGCCCTTGGAAAGAGTTTGAGGTACAATAAAATCCTTTACAATTAGAGTTAACTATATTACCTGTCTTTTACCATAGTGGTGAGAAAGGGTATCTGAAAGGACACTATAGTCCTTATGTATTCAATGATACATCATAATGCACAATGAGCATTATCTTTCAGTACAAATCTGAATAAGCACAGTGAAAAGAATTATCAATCTCTTTGATTAACATATTCAAACACCTTTCCAATGTTTTCCTCTTTTCGTAACATTTCTTAATTAGTGCTTTCCAACCTCATTGAAACCTCTTATCGGATGCTCTTCAAGTCTCCAAAAGTGCTTAACCTTGAAAAGTGTTAGCCCACTTGTTTAGACTTTCAATTCAATTTGGATAGAGCACGTATATCCACACGAGGAAAATATGCCACCAAATGGACAAAAAGGAGTTTGTCAATATGACCATTTATGTAAGTCTGTTGTTTTTCCAGGGATGATATATATTTCAGCCACACCCAAGTCAAAATGTTGCTTTGCAAAAGCACATCACCAATACGTTTAACTCTGAGCATTGCTATATCAGTGAAGTAGTTCTTCTGAGCTTGGAAATGGGGAAAGTTGTTGGTACAGCCATGAAAGGGTTATCAGCTTTATCTAATTTATCTTCATTTCACGGCTGTTCTGTCCTTGCAGAAATAAACAATAATGAAAATATGTATTGTGAAATTATCACTGCTTTGTTATTCTGCAGAGGGAAATTAAACAATCAGAATGTCTTCCGGAAAGTAAGTACTGATATAAAATTTATTTTCCAAATTCTATCTACAAATTATTATTTTGAAATGTAACCTGAGAAACACATTAATTAATATTCAATATTCTTTTTCTTTCCCCTACTGTGCAGCACTGGACGGGTCAGTATTTATTTTCAATTATCTTCCACACAATATCTATTGCTTGGAAAACTGCCCAGACGTTCCCAATTATTCAGTCAAAATACTTGAAAGTGATCTGAAAATTCAGTTTTTAAATGATGCCTTCCATTCTCATATTTAACTCACAACAATTAAAGCTTGTCTTTTATTCAATTCATTGGTAAAGTATTTGTGCTCATCAAGGTAAGACCGGTCAGTGCTGGAAAATGTTAACTTTTTCCTTATTTGCACACAATGTCAGTATCGAGCACTCCTAGGTCAGGTATAGTATGGGCTAGTTGCAGAGTAACCCATAACATTTGTAGAGGTAAATGAAGCGTGTATTATGAAGGAACACTGAGAACTGAAATGTCCACAGTTTACCTGAACCAAATAAAGTAGAACACCCTGGAACCCAGGGGCAGATTAACTAATAAACCAGGTAAGACGTGGTTTAGGGCTTTGAGGTCAGAGCGGGCCCCAGATATGGTTAGCTCCTTTACCCCGACTTCTGAGCCAACTGTTGGGTGATGTCAGGAGGGGAGGAGACATTCCCATCCTCAGCCAATCCTTAGGAGTAGGTGGACCAGTGCAATGCTTCATAATAGACCTGATAACACATTTGATAACTATCAAATCTGTTATGAAGCCGCATTTTGCTTCCCAATATAACAATGGGCTCACTTCTAAATCATTTTTGAATAATATAAGCAGCAGGTCCAGTATAGATCCTCAAAGACCTTCACTAGTTTCTGTTTCTCTCCCTCGCTGGCGCTCAAGTACAAAGGTTTCCCAGTTATCATCAACTTTGCTTCCTTTTCCTACACCGCTGGTCCTGGTCAATGCTCTGGTATTTTTGAGCCTTGATTAAGAAATGCTAAAGGCAATTCCTTTCGGTAACTGGAAGGACATTATGCATCTCACACTGAATCTCACTACGAAAATATATCAAGTTGGAGCAGCATTTCCAAATCTCCATTATGTACTGTATTGCTGGAATTTATAATCAAGAGATTTGTTAAAGAAATAATTGGAAATTGAACCCCTTCAATCGAACTAAGTGACTTGCCGTTCACCCCATGAGTTTTAACCTTCTTTCAATGGCTCGCTTGTGGAATCCTATCCAATGGCTGCTTCAAGTTCAAGTAAATCATCTTGTGAATAAATTGACATGTTTATGTTATTAAGGTGAAGCATTGCTGACTAAACATAATGCAATTCAGATGTATGGTTGCATAAAGATTTTTATAACAGCATTTCAGGTTTTTTTTGTGTATCAAATGAGTTTTATATGTCCATTTATTATTTTTTTAAAAGAAGCAATGAATCTATTTTTTAAATTGCTTAGAAGTCCTACAACACACATCATAGCATACAGACTCTGTAGTTATCATCATATCTAGTTGAAATATCTATAATTAATATTTTTCCACTGTGTGATTATAAAAAGGCTAAGTGAAAATCTTGATTCTACCTTTTGTTTAATTTTCACAGAAAAAAAAGGTCACTATTGCACAGAAAATCAGAATGAAGGTAAGAACTTAGAAACAGATGATAATTGTGCAGTAATTATCTACTGAATCTGTTGAAACTGAATGACTACTTCAAAAGAGTAATGAGCGAGAGAGGCTAGTGAGAAGAGCAATTAGAAAAAGCTATCCTTGAGTTGACAAATATGAAAAGCAGTGATTTGATATTTGATATTTCACCTTTCACAGAATTTGCTGTTAAGTGTAGTGATTGTGCATTTAGTTGACTCACGATAATAATAATAATCCTTGCATTTGATATAGTGCCTTCACACATTGAGATGTCTCAAAGAGCTTCACAGAATATATTGTTAAGTGGATTGACTGTGCATTTTATGGGTGAAATTCAGCAGCCAATTTGCACAAAGCAGTGTCCCACAAACAGTCTAGAAGTGAATGACCAATTGATTTTCTAGAAACTCCCTTTTCTTTGCACTTATTGCCATGGGATCTTTAATGTCCACCTGGACAGGCAGACAGTACTAGTTATCCAGTATAGCTAGTCTTGGCTTGCAGTGTTGAAGAGATGTGTACACTTTCAACTCTCATTAATGAGCCGTTACAGACTGGTAAATTATTAATAATGCCTTGGGCTTCTTCACAGTTATTTTTAAGAAACGTTAATCTTTTGTTGAACAAAATTCCCAATTCATGATTTAGTCTGAACTAACAGTCAACTTTTTAGCTAATACAAAATTACGTTTCATTTGCAGACTGCACTGCTTGCATACGCAAGCAAGGCTCTGGCCAAGGAAAAACTGGACAGGGAAAATGAGAAAAATAAAACCATTGAACAGAATGTTCCAGGGCTAAGCATGACAAAGCTTTCTACAGAAGAACTCCAGGTGAATTGTTGTTATGTGTGAATCATTAAAATTTAAAGGTTACAATTGTAAACTTGATTTTTTTTCATTTAAGAAAAGACTCTTTTCACGCTTTAACCAGGTAGAGATAAAAAAGAAGCAATGAATATTTTGCTAAAATATTAATTCGACTGGCTCCATCCAGCCTCCTGCTTGTGACCTCTGTTCCAACCATCTGTGGCTGCGATTACAGCTTCTATGTCCTGAAACTCTAGAACTCCATCAATCCCTCCGCCTTGCCCCATCCATCCCCATCTTTAAGACCTGAAGACTTTCCTCTTCAACCATGCCTACGGTCATCTCCCCCCCAGCTCAGTGTTGCGTTGCACCACTGTCAAGAGCTCTGGGTTGCTACCCTGTGTGAGGGGTGCTATATAGATGCAAATTGTTGTTGTTGTTTGCAACTCGAAAGGATAAAGGGACAAAGAAGAAACCAAACTAATATGTCAGACTGATACTTATTTAAATTTTCCAGGGCCTTTGCAAAACTTTCCAGGAGAAGATTGATAATACTGAATCGGAGCGCTATGACATTCAAAGTAAAGTGACCAAGAATGATTCTGAGGTAATTGTACTGAAACCATCTAATCAAAGGCAAACTCTCAAACTGCAAATAACCAAAGGTTTGGCAAAAGAACCAGAGGGGAAGCAGAAAAAAAAATTGCAAGGTTATGGGCAAAGAGCGGGGAGTGGGACAAGTTGAAGGGCTCTTTTAAAGAGCTGGCACAGGCACGATGAGCCGAATGCCCTCCTTCTCTGCTGTAAGACTCTATGATTCTATGATTAGATTGAAGGATAAAAATGACAATATGTTTTGTTCTATTTAGATTGACGCTTTAACGCAGACGATCTGTGAACTTAAAGGCAAGTTTAAACGTCCCTCTCTGCGAAGAGTCAGAGTGTCGGCTGATGAAATGTTAGGTGCTCTAGCAGAAAACACATGCAAAACTTCCATGGATCTGAGATCCAACCTGAAATCAGTGAGAAAGGAAGATGAAAAGGTAGGCAATGTTGTTCTCCGAACACTACACTTGTGTTAATCTTCCAGAAATGGTGTGAGAGTTTGGACGTATGCATTCTGAAATGCCAAATTTCAGAATATTCCAATATTGATCTTCTCTCCATTCCTTACAAGCTGAGAAACTCAGAATATCTATCTAAACTTGTATTCTACACCAAAACAAAAAAAACTAGTACTGCACCAATAATGTTCTATGTAGTGTCAAATTAATTATTAATAATTGTTCCTGTGGTGTATCTATGAAAGATCATTCTGTTTAGTAACGTTCTTTTGCTTTTACTGTGCATGCACCCCATACTCCCTCATCTGTAGTATAGGGAATAGGGAAAGTTATAGGACTAAACAGATAGCACTTTCTGAGAGCCAGTGGTGGCATGATGGACCAAATTGCCTCCTTCTGTGCTATAAACATTGATTATATGGTTCTATTTTGAGGGTTGATGGTTTGTTGATGGTTCTATCTTGTTGTTGTTCCATTTTCCCAGTGTTGGCTTTGGCCCATCCAAAACAAAAAGGATGAAGATTCCACTTACCCCATATAATCAATTATCACTGTATGTTCGTATTTCAGCTAGTTACCAATGTTGCCTTGATGTATGTTTCATTCTATTCGAAGGATTACAAGTCAGTTGAAGTCACCGACTGGCGTAAGAATGTGGAAGAGATGTCTGGGATGAAAGGAAGAAAAAAGATTTTTGATACCTTTAGTGGTAATCAATAAGAGATGTGTATCAAAACAAAGGTGAATCTTTTTTTACAAATATGCAAGAATTCAGTGAAGGAGAATGCATTACAAATGCTGCATTGCCATATACAGCATCTGATTTGGTTCCACCTCAGAACTGTGCTGGACATATTCACCAGGTCAGATTTGTCCCTCATCTGCTTTAACTTTGTATTAAAGCATTACTTCTAGTAACACAGATATCCATTGTCTTATCTTTGAAAGACACAATGAGAGGCCTTTTTGCTTTTTATTGCATGCTTATTGCACAAGGTTAAGAGAATCCTGTCAGACGAAGCATGCAAAAGCTCTTTTGATGGTTCAGTTGATATCACTATTATCCTGTTTCAATCCCATTGCTTGTAAAGTAATCTGTGAAAGTTTCCTCCTCTTTGGCAAGGAAAAGCTTTTGTGCAAAGATTTGTAGGGTTTCAAAAGACCTATATTTGTTCCCAAAACATTGTATGTTAACAAATGAGTAATTACAGTTAGCTGAATTATAGTAGTGGGGCTAAAACTGTGTTTGCTGTGTCATTATCAGCCCTGACTTATTTATAAATATCTCATGGAGTGACTGAGACTGTAATATATATGGATCATAGCTGTGTAAGGAGCAACTAGATATTTAATGAACCTGAACCTGCAGCAATTTTTGTTTTCAACTAGTAATTCTCTCTTCACACTTTTTATGCCAGCTCTGCCCAACAAGAATTTGGAAATCGTTGAGTTACCACCTGGAATGCATCCCAATAAATTCAGGAAAGAGGCAAATCTTTATGAAAATGAAGACAAAAATACAATAAAGTGATGTGGTCTGTAAAGAGAACAATTGATGAAAGACAAGAGTCCAATTGATAAGTGAAAAAAAGAACAACGACTTGCACTTATATAGCACCCTCCACACAGGGTAGTGTCTCAGAACGCTTAACTTACAAGGTTCAGTAATGTCTTTATTAAATATCTTTAACAGTCGTCTCTCTATGAATATATATGAAAGTGGTAGGGCAGGAAGAGGAGACAATATTCCTTTGAGTAAAAAGACCTTTTCAGCTTTCAAACTAATTATGAATTTTCTTTCCATAGAAATAAGACCACATACGTTTCCATTCGAACCCTTTCTAGTTTAAAACTAAAGGAATGTGCACCACCATCAAATATTGCCTAATTGACGGTCTTTTTGTAATACCTGTAGACTGATTGAAACCTGTGTTATATTCTGCATTTTGTTGCTGATATTCTGCTGATGTTTTTAAGGAAATAAGATGCCACGGGGTAATAAATGTGTAGGTCTTTTTGAGAGGAATTCTCTCGTGTGTAAAATACCGGAATTGTCTCTATTTTGGTTTCATGTTATAATTTCTGCATGTGGTAATAATTCAGTTCAACAATTCCGAACAAATCAAGATGTAAATCGTGTAAAACTATATGGTGCGCTTAAGAGTAGCAACTTTGCAAAAATCAGATTTAAAACATATGGCTGTTTAGTTTTATTAAAAGCCTAATAATGATAACTTATACAATTACTGCGTGACCTTTTTAAAAGCATACTATATATGTTTTAAGTCCAGTTGAGAGTTTATAGCAGCAAACAATTGACCCAAGAGAAAAAAAGAAGTAACCAAGAGAATGAAAACTGAAGGCAAAATACTGCAGATGCTGGAAATCTGAAATAAAAACAGTAGTCGCTGGGAACACTCAGGAGGTCAGGCAGCATCTATGGAGAGAGAGAGAGAGAGGTCAAAGATCTTTTGTTAGAATTGTATTCTGACGAATGAAACCTGAAGACTGACTCTGAGAAAATAGTTTACAAATGAAAGCATAGCGTTTCACAAATGAATTACACCTAGTCCACTTGTGGAACACTTACATGCTTTGGGATATAACCGAGAAATATCCCCTGTTCTATTGTTTGCTTGGACTGTTCACTGAATACCACCGACTGTTAAGCGGAAACAATATTTCAGACATGGCATCACTTCAAACAATCGCATATAGTGTTTTCGTTCAAAAAGGCAATCAAATCATATGCAAATCATATGTACTTTGGAACAATAAGTTGTCAAAGGTATATAGATAATTAGTGATAATAACCCTATACCCGCAGAACAAATATGTTTTGGTTTCATCCTTGAGGAATTAGATGTTAAGAAATGGCAGGCTATGTGCAAACTGCGTATAGAAGATTTTCCCTCTATCGTCAACAGAAAATGTCACATTGTACGATATTCTAACAACTCTTGTTTATTAGTTCCTCATGCACCAACTGAAGCTGGTTATCAACCATCGCTAAATGCAATTTGTGGTTGTTATTGTAGAGTGGGAAGTGGGACCAGAACTTCTCTATTGATCCCTGTCAATCATCGCTCTCCCCCAGTTTCTGTTTCTCATTGCACTTTATTTAGAATCATGGACACAAAGAAAAAGTCATGGACAAACAGAAAAATTTCGGTATCCGGGACATTTTTACCACCGTGATAAATCTGCAGCTCTAATTATAGGTAGACAGTTACTAATTCACGATTACTTTACTCGTACCTCCTGCTCGAGCCCTCTTCCTGTTGCTCTCTGTACTGCCTTGTGCCTTGTAGAACCTCATGAGAGCAGTGGGAAGAGAGGTGGAGTGGGAGGTGTGAAGCAACAACAAGATTACATTTGTATGGCGCCTTTCACGTCGGGAGGACGTCCCAAGTCGCTGGACAGTGAACAGCACTTCAGACCCGAGTTGGGGTCGGGGGTTGGGGGGAGGGGAGGGGAAGGGGGTGGCTGATGGCATGGTCGAAGTGGAGACTCTTGAGGCGGGACTTGAAGGAGGCTAAGGAGGGGGCGAGGCGGAGTGATTGGGGGATGGAATTCCAGAGGTTGGGGGCAGAGTGGCTGAAGGCTCTCCCGCCAATGGTGGAGCGGGTGGGGCGGGGGACGCGGAGCAGGCCGTGCAGAAAGTGACACGAAGTTGCCGCCACTAATGTCCCATTGCCCGCCCCCAACCGCCCAAACCTGCCCCACCCCACCTGGATACAAAATCTGGCTCTGCCACTGTCGGCAAAACAGTCCAAAAATCAGCCCTGGCAGTTAAGAACTGGCTTAGTGTCAACTCTAATTGCAACAATAATCTCTACATTTTCCCAATCAATGACTGTTTGTGGGACGCTGCTGTGCGCAATTGGCTGCTGCGTTTCGCCCACAAAGTCAATTCACTTTACAGTATATCCTGTGAAGCGCTTTGAGACGTCTTGAAGATGTGATAAGGCGCTGTATCAAATGTAAGGAATATTATTATTATTAAAGCTCCTTCACTTTGGGAGGTCGTCCTTAACCACTGAACAGGATATCCTGCATTGCAGTGACCGCATTTTTGTGTTTGTGTGTGTGTGTGTGTGTGTGCAAACGCAGCAGCCCAACTGCACACAGCAAACAGACCAACAAACAGTCATGAAGTTAACGACCATTTAAAAAAATATGTATTATATACAATGCAATGGGATGCTGTTTTGACGGCAGACAGACTTCGGGAAAAGCTGTGCATTGAAGAGGAGAGAGGCTCTGCACAGTTTTTGGTGGGAATACACTTTTCTTTAAAAAAGAGTCAATCGCATCCAAAATCAAATAAATAAAATAATAATTCAGTCACTCAATCCACGACTGTTTATCAGATGATTGCTGTGCCGCGTTTTGCCCATAAAATATACAGTCAGTTCATTCGACAGTATATTCTGTGAAGCGCTTTGAGACGTCTCGAAGGTGTGATAAGGTGCCATATTATTATTGTTATTGAATGAACAAATGAAATTGCACCAGTGGTTCCAGTCGCAAAGTTCACCGTCATTTAGCGAATTAAAATTTCTGAATTGTTTCATGTATGTAATCACGGTCAAAGTGTAAAGCGAACGGACCGTATTTTTGTGGAAGAATGATGACATGATCAGGAGCTAATATCAGATTAATTGATTGATTAATCCTTGCACTTGACACAACGCCTTATCACGTCTCCAGTGATTATAAGTTATTATAGTTGCAATAACTATCATTATTACCATCCTATTCTCTTTGCATCCGTTAACAACAACAACAACAACAAAATTACATTTATATAGAGCGCCTTTCACGTCGGGAGGACGTCCCAAGGCGCTGGACAGTCAGTGGTCAGGACCCGAGCGTTGGGGGGAAGGGGTGGGGCAGGGGTGAGGGAAGGCAGAGAGGTGGGAGGGCGACCGAAGGCACGGTCGAAGAGGAGGGTCGTGAGGCAGACCGGCCCTGAAGGAGGCGAGGGAGGAAGCGAGGCCAAGGGACCGTGGGATGGGGGTCCCAGAGGGTGGGAGGCTGAAAGCCTGGGCGCTGACGGTCGGGCGGGTCGGGCTGGCGGGCGGGGCACACGGAGGGAGCGGGCGGGTCGGGGGGGGACATGGAGGGAGCGGGCGGGTCGGGCTGGCGGGCGGGGGACATGGAGGGAGCGGGCGGGTCGGGGGGGTGGGGGGGACATGGAGGGAGCGGGCGGGTGGGGGGGGACATGGAGGGAGCGGGCGGGTGGGGGGGGGACATGGAGGGAGCGGGCGGGTCGGGGGTGGGGGGGGACATGGAGGGAGCGGGCGGGTCGGGGGGGGGGTGGTGGGGGGGGGGGGTCAGAGAGATAAGGAGGGGGGGGTCAGGCCATGGATGGACCTGACCCCAGACCCTCCCACAGGGGGTGTGTGTGTGTGTGTGTGAGTGGACCCTGAGCATCAGCTGGAGGAGGAGGGGGCGGGACCCGCCTCACACAACTCGCGCTCTCATTGGATGCTCCTCAGGCAGGCCCCGCCCACTGTCCGGTTTGCGATTGGTCGAGGGGGGGCGGCGTCGGTCGGACAGGAAGTGAAGCGCGGCCGCTGATTGGTCAGAGCGGGAGCGATTGTTCGGCAATAATACATTGTAGCGGCGGTGTCCGGAGAGAGAGAGAGAGAGAGAAGGTACCTGTGGGGGGAACCGGGGGACCGGGGGGGACAAGGGACCGGGGGGGGACCGGGGGGGACTGGGGGGACAGGGGACTGGGGAGGGGACTGGGGGGGGACAGGGGGACCGGGGGGGGGGGACAGGGGGACCGGGGGGGGGGGACAGGGGGACCGGGACCGGACTGGGAGGGGGACAGGGGACCGGGGACCGGGGGGACGGGGACCGGGGGGGGGACAGGGGGACGGGGGGGGGGGACGGGGGACCGGGGGGGGGACTGGGGACCGGAGGGGGGGACGGGCCCTGTGGGGGGAGAGGGGGACGGGCCCTGTGGGGGGGAGAGGGGGGACGGGCCCTGTGGGGGGGAGAGGGGGGACGGGCCCTGTGGGGGGGAGAGGGGGGACGGGCCCTGTGGGGGGTTTAGCCGATGAAGATGGTCGGATCTGTTATTCCAATAGTGATAGTCCGGGGTTTTGTGCAGCGCCTTATCGGGGCATTGGGACATCTCAATGTGCTTCACAGAAAAAAAATTATTTGCTGTATAAAATTTGTATATATATATGTGTGTGTGTGGGGGTGTGTGTGGGGGGTGGGGGTGTGTGTGTGGGGGGGTGTGTGTGTGGGTGAGGGTGTGGGTGTGTCTGTGGGTGTGTGTGTGGGTGGGTGGGTGGTGGGGGGGTGGGGTGTGTCTGTGGGGGGGTGTGGGTGGGGTGTGGGTGTGTCTGGGTGTGTGTGTGTGGGTGTATGTGTGTGTGGGTGGGTGGTGGAGGGTGGGTGTGTGTGAGTGGGGTGGGGTGGGGGGTGTGTGTGTGGGTGGGTGGTGGGGGGGTGGGGTGGTGTGTGAGTGGGTGGGTGGGGGGGTGGGGTGTGTGTGAGTGGGTGGGGGGTGGGGTGTGTGTGTGTGAGTGGGTGGGGTGGTGGGGGGTGGGGTGTGGGTGTGTGGGTGGGGTGGGTGGTGGGGTGTGTGTGTGTGGGTGGGGTGTGTGTGAGTGGGTGGGGGGTGGGGTGTGTGTGAGTGGGTGGGTGGGGGGTGTGGGTGTGTGGGTGGGGGTGTGGGTGGGTTGGGGCCAGTGTGAGGTGCCCCCAAAATGTAGTTGAATAGAGAAATATTAAGTCGGTCGTTGAAGGGTGAGAGGGAAAGAGTTGGCTCGAGGCACTTAGTCGGGTGTCCGCTGCCTCAGTTGGTAGCGCTCTCGCCTTCGGAGTCCGGAGGTTGTGGGGGTGCACGTCCCATGTTGGGGCGTTGAGCTCGTTGTCCAGTGCAGTGATGGGGGGGGTGAGCTGCGTTGCTGGAGGTGTTGCCCTTCAAGTCCATTCCGTCTGTTTGGGCGCATGTTCAAAGATCCCATGTTACTACTGTGCTTGAAAAGAGAAGGGAAGTTCTCCTGGTGTCCAGGCCGACAACATTCCCCGTATAAAATTGATCATTCACTTCCCGACTGTTGCGGGAACATTCCCGTGCGCAAATTGGCCCGCCGGCCTTGCCTACAACCAGTCACTTCACTTCACAGTGAATCATGAGGAAGTGCTGTGAGTCGTCGCAACAGCGCGAAAGGCGTTTTTATCAAATGCAAGGAGTTGAATTGCCAAAGTGCGGAAAAATATTTTGGAATGTCAGAAAAACCAACCAGACACCAGCAAAGCAGTAACGAGCTCTTTTTTTTTTCCAAAAAAAAAAAGCAAAGAGGACCTTCACAGATTGAGGCAACAAATCTGATATTTTTGTTTCATGTTCAATAATATAAACGTGTGATTTATTGTGATACTTGGAACGGAATCCTGTTTCATTTAATTGTCAGTTCAGGGAATGTGTGCACAATGAGACGGGTTGGTCCACATTGCCCTAATTAGGTTACTCATCTGCAATGTGATTTTCTTGCATTTTTAGAGCCTGTTCACGTGTGCGATCATCACACATTCCTGAAATCAGCACTGAAGCGAGGTGTTTTTTGGGGAAAACTGTGTGTGTTCCATCCTGATCGTTGAATAAGTCCCACACACAGTCGTAGGTTGAAAATGACCAATTGATTATTGTTTTGTTTTTTTTGGAGGGATTATTGTTAGGGAAATTGCAAATGAAATTCGGCTGAAAATAGTTTCTTTAAACTGATCGATTTTGACCTGCAAATGGGCCTTGCTTACACATACATTCCCTCTCTTTATTTCCCTCCACCTTCCCTAGCCCTTGTATGTTCCTGGAAATGATAGACAGAAAGAAACGTAATACTAATAATCCTTGCATTTGATATAGCGCTTTCCAGTCTTCTAGACGTCTCAAAGCGCTTCACAGAATATACTGTAAAGTGAATTGACTGTATATTTGTGGGCGAAACGCAGCAGCCAATTGGACACAGCAGTGTCCCGCAAACAGTCATGGATTGAAATGACCAATTTTATTTTTTTTTTCTTGAGGGGTTATTATTAGGCGTGTGGAGCAAGGAAAAGTTTTGCCCTACCGGGAATCGAACCCAGGTCTCGCGCTTGTGAGGCAAGTGCTCTAACCACTGAGCGACAGGACTCCTATCCTTGCATTTGATATAGCGCCTTATCACGTCTTTGAGACATCTCAAAGTGCTTCACAGAATATACTGTAAAGTGAATTGATTGTGTATTTTGTGGGCGAAATAGCTTGACAACATAGCTGAATCTGGAGTATAGGTTTTTGTGGGTTTCCAGATTTTTAGGGATGGGGGTTCTGCATTGGATAAAATTAATTTAGATATTCCTAAGACATTTGATAATGTTTCATGCGTTAAGTTACATTTCCTGAAAAGAATTGGGAAACTAGGCAGCTGTATTGGGAACAGATAGATGTGAAAACTCTTAGCAATCTGAACTAGAAACTGGATGTATAATACACAGGGGCAAGTCAATCTGTATCTGGAAGTGAAAGATGGGTTAATGCTGTGTGTAATGCTTCATCAGAACAGTTTTATAAAATGGTTACTTACAGCTGAAATGTTATCCTGTCTTTCTTGAGAGCGGGTGGATTAAGCAGATGGGCTGAGAAGCGACTGATGTACTTTTAATATAGGGCAATGCATATTAAAGCAGGAAATGCCATTTATTTTATGTTGCAAAGGGCTGTGTCCTTAACAAAGTCGAGAAGGAAGTGGATTTATGTATGATTTTGGAAAGCGTCTAGTGGCTATAAAGTTATCAAACCACCAATGTTGAAGTAAATATTCGATTGCATCTCCAATGTCTGTAAGGCAGACGTTGATCTATCCGTGTTCAGATGATTGTGAGACACTTTCCTTTCAACCAGCATTGATATTTTGAGGGTTGTTCAAGGGAGACTGAAGATGATTCTCGGACTGTTGGCTCTAAATTAAAAGACAAAACTCACAGAATGGAACAACAACAACCTGCATTTATATAGCGGCCTTCACGCAATGTGGCGTCCCAGAGCACTTGACAGTGGGGGAGACTGATCCCGAGCCAGGGGGAGAGGTTGACCGTAATCACGATCAAAAAGGAAGGTCTTCAGGTGGGATTTGAAAGTGGGGGTTGGAGGGGGCAAGGTGGAGGGATTGAGCGAGAGAGTTCTGGGGCGCAGAGTTTCGGGGAGCAGTGTAGTGGCTGTCGAGCGGAGGCAGCAGGCGGTGGAGTGGGGGGTACGCAAATCGGAGAGGTAGGGAGGTGCGAGGGCATGGAGGGATTTGGAAACGAGTGAGACGATCTTGAAATTGAAATCGATCCGTTCGGTAATTGGGAGCCAGTGGAGCCTGGCAAGGACTGGTGTGAAGGGGGTCGGAGTTTTGTGTGGGTGAGTACCAGGCAGCAGAGTTTTAAATTAATTGTATTTGGTGTATGGTGGAGCTGGGGAGACCAGCGAGGAGGGCATTGGGATAGTCCAGCCGGGAAGTGACAAGGACATGGATGACGGTTCCGGCTGCGCTGTGGGGTACAGACAATGTGACGGAGGTGGGAAAAAAGGTCCTGGTTAAGGAATGGATGTGGCGTAGAAGGCAAAGCTGCCGATCGAACCTGACGCCTAAGTTGCGCACAGGTTTGGTGAGTCTGAGGGGAGGTTGAGAAATTCAGACCCGCAGGAGAGAAGACACTGACGGGAGCCAAAGAGTAAGGATTCTGTCTTGCCGACATTTAGCTGCAGGAAATTTGTGCTCACCCAGGCCTTGTACAAATCAAAACGGGTATCCCTAATTGTGAACGCTTATGTTTCTGGCCTATTTCTCTGTTTCACGAATTCCTTGGGGTGAAGGGAATGATTTGACCAGTGTAAAGTACTCCTACTTATAATACTAGCTCTTGGATTTGATGTAGCACCTTCACGTCATCGAGATTCAAAGCGCTTCACCTGATATATTGTATGTAAAGTACAGTGACTTTGTTTTGTGAGCAAGACGTGTCTTGTGAGCGCACAACAATGTCCCACAAGCAATCGTATATTATATGACTTATGCAAGTCTAATACATAGCAGTATTAACCTATTAACCGCTTAGTATCATGGGGTTAATTAAGTAAACACATGCTAAGGCACTGAATGTGGGTATAGATTTCACCTAAAAAAAATACAGTCTCTGCACTTCACAGTGTAACCTGTGAAGCACTTTGAGCCATCCTCCTGATGTGAAAGACGTCAAACCAAATTTAAGCTTTTGTCATAATTAAGTGCTTTATGTTCACTCTGAGCTCTGTATATACTATATCAATCAGGAAAAATAACTTTGCTTTTCCTGAAAACAAAATATAGTTCTTAAAACAGCTGAATTGAAAATTGTCATATCAAGCTGTGTTCCATGCATTTGGCTTATTTTGCTCGAGTTCTCTGATAATTGATTTATCACCGAGTATATAAATTGGTCTCACCGTGTGCACTTTGCCCTTTTACACGACCAGATCCAAAATAGCAAACTCTGCAAGCAGGGTGTATGTAATTTGCTGACACTTGAATAATCAGAAACTCGCTCTTAAAAATAACTCAGTGTCCTATATTTTCATACCTACTGTATTAACTGGCTGCAGGGAAGTCGTTGAACGTAAGGTACATTTATTCCTCCTTTGTATTACAGGGGTTGTTCAAACCTGTAAGTGAAGTGTGTGTGTGTATGTGTATATATTGCTCACAATGACAACATTCAAGTTGGTTATGCTGAGGCATGGCGAAGGAACCTGGACTAAGCAGAACCGCTTTTGTAGCTGGGTTGATCAGAAACTGACTGAGGAAGGCATAAAAGAAGCCCGGAAGTGTGGGCAACTCTTAAAAGAAGCTGGATTTCAGTTTGATATTGTGTTCACATCTCTTCTGAGCCGATCTATTCAAACAGCGTGGTTTATTCTGCAAGAAATGAACCAGGAATGGGTTCCAATGGAGAGCTCTTGGCGGCTTAACGAACGCCATTACGGGGCATTAATAGGTCTCAATCGCAAGGAACTCGCTTTAAACCATGGAGAAGAGAAGGTGAGGCTTTGGAGGAGAAGTTTCGATCTCACCCCTCCTCCTATTAAAGAATCGCATCCATACTTCAAGGAAATCTACAAAGATCGCAGATACAATAATTGTGACATCCCGAAGGACAAACTGCCCACGGCCGAGAGCTTGAAAGATGTCCTCTTCAGGCTGCTGCCCTATTGGGACCAAGTAATTGCACCAGAAGTGAAGAAAGGGAAATCGGTTCTAATCTCTGCCCATGGGAACAGTACCAGGGCTCTGCTCAAACATCTGGAAGGTAATGTGCTATAGTTGAGGTTTTGTTGCATTATGTATTTAAAAATGAAAAAAATTGCAGGGCTATGGGGTAAGTGCGGGGGAGTGGGACTTGTTCGGCAGCTCTTTCCAAGAGCTGGCACAGGCATAATGGGCCGAATGACCACCTTCTGGGCTGTAAGAATTTATGATTCTGTGTTTCAAATGGTCAACAGAAAAGTGTGCTGGTGCACAAATGTATTTGACCACAGTTCTACTTGGGCATATTTCACACCTTACTTTACAATCTCAAGTGAGCATTCTTTTCATGGAAGACAGTGAGCAGACGTCAAGCATTTACCATAAAAAGCTGTAAAATTGAAAGCAAAATCATTTTCTAAGCCACCTTCCCACAACTAGCAGTTAGGTATTAAAAATGTTTAGCACAGTACAAGAGGTACAGATGAAGAACACCCTTTGAGCTATTTAATCAACTTGATCTAATGCTTCCAAAATATCAACCCTATTGTCTTTCCACTGTATCATCAACCTGCTTCGTAAGTAAGTACAATGTCTTGTCTTGCCCATCCTTCGGGCTGTTATGTTGCCGTCTGTGTAAAGAGAAGCTTCCTCGTGTCTATCCTCAAAATGCTTTTCACAAACCTGATCCTGGTCCCTCTTTATCGCCTGCCTTGGCATGTTGGAGAGTATTGGGTCAGGGTTTACAACAGCAACAACTTGCACGTATATAGTTCCCCTCACACAGGGTACCCTTGACTTCATTAACCCATTTTACCTTTTATATAGTGGTCTGGCCTTGCTTGGTCGTTTGGAACATTTCGAGGAGAGGGGAGGGAGCAATTGAAATGAAAGTGGAGGAGTACACTTGAGCCTCAAAACAGAAATCCTGGGTAATTCCACAGCCAGGACGTCAAATGTCAGCCCCATTATAACGTGCTTCTTTATAATAGGCAATCAGTTGTAACACTGTGCACTCACTTCCTGTCGGCCGTCCGGTTTTTGTGCTAAAATGGTCACGCGGCCGCCAACGAATTCACTCCCTGTTTGATGTTAAACAGGAAATGAAATTGGTGGCAACCCAACGACACAGGTCGACCATTTTAGCTTTCTCCCTATCCTAAAGAAATGGGTCTTCAGGTCACCACCAATGTCACTCGGGAAAGGGAAGGTACAGTTGACTCTCCTCAAGTATATAGAAGTGTTCTGTGGTTCCTGAGCCATGTAGATCAGAGTCTCTGTTGAGAGTTACCTATTAACTAATCTGGACTCCAAACAATTGGCTTGCGTGTTTTGGGTCTAGGATGTAAGGTGTCCTACTTCCTGTACCAGAATGCTGCCAATTTTTGTCGCACGAAACTGCTTCATTAAATTCTTCACCTTCAGGAGAGGATGGAACAAAATTGGATTCCAACAGAGAGAACAGGAAACATAGTGAGGATTGGGTTCCCTACAAATCGGAAATGAGCCACTTCAGATTTGTAGGGAGGAAAGGTCTTAAAATAATAATAATAATCCTTGCATTTGATATAGTGCTTATCTATAACTATTTTATTATAAAGTAACTGTCTGTCCAGCGCCTTGGGACATCCTCCCGACGTGAAAGGCGCTTTACAAATGTAATTTTGTTGTTGTTGTTGTTATCACGTCTTCGAGACGTCTCAAAGCACTTCACAGAATATATTGTAAAGTGAATTGACTGTATATTTTGTGGGCGAAATGCTTAAAAGTGAACATTACTGCTTCTGTCGACCTTCCATTTTTATCTGCGATCTGTCTGACAAATCCCATGAAATTTCAAAAGAAATAGTACTAACTTGTGCATGGTTTCAAGACGAAGAGTATAATTGTAATAATAATAAAAATATTTCTTACATTTTGGTACAGATATACATTCTTACATTTTCACATCAGTAGGACGTCTCGATGCGCTTCATAGGAAGGAGATCCTGTGAAGTGCTTGTGACTCTTTGTAGGAGAATGATCAAAGACTTATGACAATGGCAATGTTATATAGAAAACAGGACTATTACCTCGTTATAATTGTCTGTGTCAATGGATGCTATTAAAAACCTAATCTAAGGTCACCTTGTAACATTCTTCCTGTGCAATGTGATGCTAAAATTGTCATTGACGTCAAATGCAAATTCTCGATCGCACAACTAACCACAACACAATTGTCGGTGGGGAAAGGAAAGAAAATTAAGGCAACCATTTTGGAGGGGATGCACTCATTCTTTGTATCACCTTTATATTTGATACACAATGCACCTAAAATTCTGGTGCCTGCATATTAATAATAATAATCTTTGCATTTGAAGTAGCACTTTTCACGTCGGGAGGACGTCCCAAAGCGCTTCACAGAACACACTGTAAAGTGAATTGACTGTATATTTGTGAGCGAACGCGGCAGCCAATTGCGCACAGCAATGTCCCACAAACAGTCGTAGATTGAAAATGACCAATTTGTTATTGTTTTTGGTTTTGGAGGGATTATTATTAGGCTCTGTGTGGAGTAAGGAAACTTGCCCAAGGTTTCGCCCTCTGCCTGGAATTGAACTCAGGTCTCTCGCTTGCAAAGCGAGTGCTCTAACCACTGAGCTACAGGACTCCACAAATATTGAACTAAGGCATGAATATTAATTATTTTGCTGAAGTATAATAGCTTTATCAACTTACAGGCCAGCTATTCATCGGGTTTTGGACTGAATTAATGTACCGGAACTAACCTCCCAGACATCCAATCAAATTGTGTCTTGACATTTTGTTCTGCTCAGAAAAGTACACTCAACTCTCTCGGAGAAGACTAAATAGCAGCTATAACTTTGCCTGGTGTACAGGAAAGTCTCAAAACATACTTACTTATGATCTGTGGCCAACCCATTTTTTTTCTTCATTTAATTTTTTGTCATTCTGTATTCCCAGCAACATATGGGTTAATTTTATGAGACATTTCCTATTATAATAGTCCCTGGATGCAGCCAATGTAATGGATAAGGGCTCCAATTAAAGACTTGCAAGAGCTCTGCAAGTCACTGCTGCCAAACTGAGTTTTGACCGTTTATTACTGTTACGGTTTATTACTGTTGTGGAGTCCTACAGCTCAGTGGTTAGAGCACTCGCCTCGCAAGCGAGAGACCTGGGTTCGATTCCTTGCAGGGTGTTGGGCAAGTTTCCTTACTCCAAGTGCCTCTGTTTACTTAGCAGTAAGAAGGAACCTGGTTGTTAGTTGATTAACGGATCGCTTTTCCGGGGTAATAATTCCTTGAAAAAAAATAATAATAATAAATTGGTCACTTCAATCCATGACTGTTTGTGGGACACTGCTGTACGCAATTGTCTACTGTTTTCTGCCCACAAAATATACAGTCAATTCACTTTACAGTATATTCTGTGAAGCGCTTTGAGCCATCTTGAAGATGAGATAAGGCGCTGTATCAAATGCAAAGATTATTATTATCATTACTACTACCTTCTGCTTTCTGTGGCCAAGGTAGTTTTCAATCGAGATAACTAATTCTATGTGGTCTTTATAGAAGCCTTCTCCAAACCGCGTCGTCGGATTGTCCAAGTCACAGAATTGTCACGGCAGGGACCTTTTAAAATTAATAAGCCCTGCATTTGGTACAGCACCTTTCACGTCGGGAGGACATCCCAAAGCCCAATTCCGCACAGCAATGTTTTACAACAGCCATGAAACAAATGACCAGTATTATTTGGGGGGGATTGTTGGTCAGGACACCAGGAAAAACTACATTCCCTTTTCGATAAGTGCCGCGGGATCTTTAACGTCCGCCTGAACAGGAAGACGGAGCCTGGGTTTACCAGGCGAAGGATGGCACCCTTGACAACGCAACAGATCCCCAGCACTGCATTGGAGCTGCATAGACTATGTGCGTTTCTATCCCAATGTTGAACCTACAAGATTCTGACTTGGAGGCGACAGTACAACCACTGAGCCAGAATGACACAAACATTTTGACATTTAAGAATTGTCGAACAGCCAAGAACATATTTCTTATAAATAGATTGCTGCTCTGTGCCACATGCACATTAGTGCAGGACCTTTTTTGACCTGCTCATGTTCAGGTTATGAATAAATATTCTAATCTTATATTGAAAATGCGTTTTTTCAGGGAGAATGAACATGTATTGACTTCAGACACCAAGCAAACGTTGTTAATATATATTCTGAGTCTTCGTGTCTCCAGTGTTTCTCAAACTTGACTAATACAGTATAACTAGCACTTCCTGAGGCGTAGCTTCAAAAATAGAACTAAATAATAATAATAATTATCCTTGCATTTAATATAGCATCTTTTCATGTCTTCGAGACGTCTGAAAGTGCTTCCCAGAATATACTGTAAAGTGAATTTGTGGGCGAAACGCGGCAGCCAATTGTGCACAAACAGTCGTGGATTGCTAGCCATAATACAAACCAAACTATGTCCTTACTGCGTGTAAAAGAACTGTTTGTTACCTTGAACTGATGTATGGCATCCTTCAGGAATGCCATAATCAGTACTCAAATCTTTCTCCACAAGTTGAAACAGACTTAAGGTGGAAGAAACGTGTAACTACAGCAGAGTATCTACACACCTGCCTGTCCAGGTGGATGATAAAGATCCCATGGCACTATTTGAAAAGAGATGGGAGTTTCTCCCAGTGTCCAGCCCAACAATTCCCCCAAATAAACATTGGTCACTCACCTCATGACTATTTGTGGAACTGGCTGCTGGGAGCTTTAACATCCACCTAATCTTTAACGTCCAACTGAACATGACCTCTTAGCTAGATCGAGGCCCAGAGGCAGAGCGAGTCAGGCTGTGGTTACTTGCGTTGTGAAAATATTTAGTTGCTTTTAAGTCCACGTTGTAACAAGATGTTCTACTTTAATTGAATGGCGTGGCATGGAGAGATCTGATACAGAATAGAGAATAGAGAATGTAAAATAGAGAGAGATGGACACAAAATACATGTACAGAGAAAGAGAGCGAGACACCCACGTACACACACAGATACTTG